ATTATCAAGGCTCTTTTGCTATCAAGCACTATGAGTCGATTGTGCTGTGTACCGACAGAGCAGAACCACCAACATTCTGTAATCTAGCGGGATAGTGTCGTATAGCTGGTTGCACAGGCTAATTAGTCATACATGCTATATTCAAAAAGAATGACAAGTCAACATGTATATACATATATTAGGGTTTTTATTTCTTAATGTGCACTATGGAGCATGACATGATTTATGAGTATTATAGTGCAGGATGCATACGGACTGACCTTATGTCAGGATGATTTATATATGTAACTCTAAAACGTGTGTATTTATATACATTATAAAATGTCCTTAGGACAGGTTGATATTAGATATATACTATTCTCAGTCAGAGGGTAGTTCGACTTTGGTATTCCACTCGTTCACATGTGTGTTTGTATTTGTATATTAAAAGTATGTTACATCCGTGAGTTCTTCCTACGTTATACGACAATAGCATAATCATATAAAATGTCCAAAATCCCTGTTGGGATTCAAACCTGCAGATGTGAGGGGGAAAGTGGTTTAAAGTCAACATTCTTAACCACAAGGCAATTGAAACAAGGCTGATACCTTTGACTGATAATTGCTCAATAATTGCTTTGTTAATTGACCATCATTTTCGCAAGGCCAGAAACTGTTAGAGAAAACGTGCCAAATATATCATCATTTACGCAACAAGATAAACTTATACAGAAAACATGCCAAACTTACGACATTGTTTAAACTTGTGAAAATTCACGCATTGGGCAGCAAATATATGCAAGTTGTAATCAATATCCCACTTAAGCGATCTTGCTATTAACAGTACAAAATGAAAGGAAAATAGATGTTTATAAGAAGGGATCTAGTTGTAAGTGAAGTAGACTGTATATGATATATAAGTATATTGTTTGTAAAAGTGGATATATATATGCGTCACAAAACTTTTGCGAATGACAATGCATGCAGAAATATTTGCGAAAATATGATTTCTTGAATTTAATACTGTTTTTCTGCTATCTTTAATTAAGCAGGTACATGTTTAGAATATGCTATTATTGTAGTAATTCTATTCAGTTGTTTAATACCTTTATTATCTATAACAGTTTGAACTAGAACTGCCACTATCATGGCGTGAATACCCCCGCATACCACTTTGTCAGAATCAACAGTGGCCATTTAGAGCTCAAGGACAACCTCCCTGCCAAATCTGAGGTTACTAAGCCAGTGCATTGCTAAGTTATGTATTCTACATGCTTCAAATGTGAAAATGTCAAAATAAATACATTGCGGACAGGACATTCTTTAGCAATTGAGAAGAAAAGCTTTTTTTTGTCAAGGTCCCTGTGACCTTGACCTTTGACCCAGTGACTTCAAAATCAATAGGGGTCACCTTATAGTCATGATCAACATCCATACCAAATATGAAGACTGTGGGTCAAAGGAATCTTAAGTTAATGGGTGGACAAACTTTTTGAAGTCAAAGTCCCTATGACCTTGACCTTTGATCCAGTGACCTCAAAATCAAAAGGGGTCATCTACTAATCATGATCAACATCCATGTCAAATATGAAGACTGTGGGTCAAAGGAATCAAAAGTTATTGGGCAGACAAAGTTTTTTGAAGTCAAAGTCCCTGTGACCTTGACCTTTGACCCAGTGACCTCAAAATCAATAGGGGTCATCTACTTATCATGACTAACCTCCATGCCAAATATGACGACTGTAGGTCAAAGGAATCTTAAGTTATTGGGCGGACAAGCTTTTTGAAGTCAAGGCCCCTGTGACCTTGACCTTTGACCTGGTGACCTCAAAATCAATAGGGGTCATCTACTAATCATGACTAACCTCCATGCCAAATATGAAGACTAAGGGTCAAAGGAATCTTAAGTTATTGGGCGGACAAGCTTTTTGAAGTCAAGGCCCCTGTGACCTTGACCTTTGACCTAGTGACCTCAAAATCAATAGGGGTCATCTACTTATCATGACTAAACTCCATGCCAAATATGAAGACTAAGGGTCAAAGGAATCTTAAGTTATTGGGCGGACAAGCTTTTTGAAGTCAAGGCCCCTGTGACCTTGACCTTTGACCTAGTGACCTCAAAATCAATAGGGGTCATCTACTAATCATGACTAACCTCCATGCCAAATATGAAGACTAAGGGTCAAAGGAATCTTAAGTTATTGGGCGGACAAGAAAAAACCGACGGCCGGACGGACGGACGGCCGGACGGACGGACAGCCGGACGGACGGACAAGCTGATTCCAGTATACCCCCCTTACAACTTTGTTGTGCGGGGGTATAAATATACATTGCTAGTTTGATATAGGACCTCATTACACATTTTAACACATATTTTGTTTCATTATAACATTTGTGATTTGTGACAAGCTATGAGAAAAATTAATCTTAGTACCTAAACAGTCAAACTTATTCATGTAAGATGCTGTATGAAAACTTGTTTTCAAATGATATTAGAAAGTTTGCTGAAAAAAAGAAAAAATAATTTTTGTGCAATATTTGCCAATAATTTCAATGCTCAAAAATCGCAAATATTTCTGAGTCGCAAATATTAACCACTTATACCGTAACTCATACAATATAACCTACATACCTGACAGAGATCCATGACAACACTCTCGTGTATTTTCTGCCACAAATGAGCCCTGAATATCTGGATCAATGAGATTTTCAGCGTGGGGATCTTGCCGTGCATGAAAATACCAGTCAGATCTAGCTGTACCTGGAAACCTACATATACCTGAAATAAACAATGATAACTATATAATGATCGTTTAAAAGGAAATGCAGTATAGCTTAATTTTGATTATCATATTATTACAGTACCGAATCTTTTATCCTAAAGCAGCCTCCAAATGAGACAAAATAGTTTAAGAAAATCTAACTTGAGAAAAAAAGATTTATGATTTTCAGAAAAAAAAAAAAAAAAGTAAACAAGAGGGCCATGATGGCCCTGAGGTCGCTCGCCTGTATATAGCCCCCCACCCCCCCCGGGCCAATTTTTACCCAAGGGCTTTTATTTGTTTATTTGAACAGACTTGGTAGACACCCATAAGAAGATGTTTCATGCAAAACATCTAAGTTCTAGCTCATTGGGTTTTTTAAAAGAAGATTTTTTAAGTTTTTACTATACACATATAGTTAAAAACAATGACACCCCTCGGGCAGGGCCAGTTTTGACCCCCGGGCTTTTATTTGAACAAACTTTGTAGATATTTACTTAAAGATGTTTCATGCTTAATATCTAAACTCTAGCTATTTGGGTTTTTTCAAAGAAGATTTTTAAGTTTTTGCTATACACGTAAAAGGAAAATCAATGACCCCCGGGGCGGGGCCAGTTTTGACCCCAGGGCTTTTATTTGAACAAACTTTGTAGACACACATTAGAACATGTTTGATGCTAAATATCTTAGCAATAGCTCTTTGAGTTCTTTAAAAGAAGATTTTTTAAGTTTTTACTATATGCATATAGGGAAAATCAATGACCCCCTGGGGCGGGGCCAATTTTGACCCCAGGGCTTTTATTTGAACAAACTTGTTCGACATTCACTAGAAGATGTTTCATGCCAAATATCTAAGCTCTAGCTCTTACGGTTCTTTAAAAGAAGATTTTTTAAGTTTTTACTATATGCATATAGGGAAAATCAATGACCCCCTGGGGCGGGGCCAATTTTGACCCCAAGGCTTTTATTTGAACAAACTTGTTAGACATTCACTAGAAGATGTTTCATGCCAAATATCTTAGCTCTAGCTCTTTGGGTTCTTTAAAAGAAGATTTCTTAAGTTTTTACTTTATGCATATAGGGAAAATCAATGACCCCCTGGGGCGGGGCCAATTTTGACCCCAGGGCTTTTATTTGAACAAACTTGTTAGACATTCACTAGAACATGTTTCATGCCAAATATCTAAGCTCTAGCTCTTACAGTTCTTTAAAAGAAGATTTTTTAAGTTTTTACTATATGCATATAGAGAAAATCAATGACCCCCCGGGGCGGGGCCAATTTTGACCCCAGGGCTTTTATTTGAACAAACTTGGTAGACACTCACTAGAAGATGTTTCATGCCAAATATCTTAGCTCTAGCTTTTACGGTTCTTTAAAAGAAGATTTTTTAAGTTTTTACTATATGCATATAGGGAAAATCAATGACCCCCCGGGGCGGGGCCAATTTTGACCCCAGGGCTTTTATTTGAACAAACTTGGTAGACACTCACTAGAAGATGTTTCATGCCAAATATCTTAGCTCTAGCTCTTACGGTTCTTTAAAAGAAGATTTTTTAAGTTTTTACTATATGCATATAGGGAAAATCAATGACCCCCCCGGGGCGGGGCCAATTTTGACCCCAGGGCTTTTATTTGAACAAACTTGGTAGACACTCACTATAAGATGTTTCATGCCAAATATCTTAGCTCTAGCTCTTATGGTTCTTTAAAAGAAGATTTTTTAAGTTTTTACTATATGCATATAGGGAAAATCAATGAACCCCCGGGGCGGGGCCAATTTTGACCCCAGGGCTTTTATTTGAACAAACTTGGTAGACACTCATTAGAAGATGTTTCATGCCAAATATCTAAGCTCTAGCTCTTAGGGTTGTTTAAAAGAAGATATTTAAAGATTTTTCTGCATGGAATTAAATTCTTTGAACAATTTTTAAAGGTGACCACCAAAGGAACATTCCTGTGAAGTTTGGATGAAATTGGCTCAGTGGTTTATGAGGAGATGTCATTTAAAGCAAAAGTTTACGGACGGACGCCGGACGGACGCCAGACGAAAAGCGATCACAAAAGCTCACCCTGTCACTTTGTGACAGATGAGCTAAAAAAACAAGATTGCATTTGAGAAAAATGCTATGCCACCACATGGTTCAAATTTCATAGCTGAACATCAAAGGACAAGAAAGTAGGTCACATCATCAAAATCTAGGTCACCTGATATCAAAGTTCAATTTTACAACTAAAACTGTGCACATGGTCAAAATGTCATTGCTGTACATCAAAGGACAAGAAAGTAGGTCACTGTCCCCTTGGGCAATGCATAATTTTGACCCAAGGGTTTAATTCAAAACAATTTTGATATAGGTCCACCAAACAACATTTCAGGTCAAATATCTAAGCTATAGCTTTCTCCCATTCAGAAAACATTTGTTTTATTTTCTGTTTCTACTATGTGTACATAATGAGAATCACTGCCCCCGGGCAGGGCCAATTTTGACACCTGGGGAATATTTTGAACAACTTTGGTAGAGGACCTATAAATGATATTATATATCAAACATCAAAGCTCTATGCCTTGTACCTTCAGACAAAAATATTTTCTATATTTTCACTATATGTACATAATGAAAATCAATGACCCCCGGGCGGAACCAATTTTGACCCCAGGGCTATAATTTGAACAATCTTGCAAGAGGTTCACTACACAATGTTTCATGCAAAATATCTTAACTCTAGCCTTTGTAAATATAGAGAAGATGATTTTTTAAGTTTTTACTATATACAAATAAGGAAAACCTATGGCCACCGGGGGCGGGGCTAATTTTGACACAAGAGGCAAAATTTGAATTAACTTTTGTAGAGTACCTTTAGATGATATTATTTAACAAACATTAAAGCTCTATGCCTTGTACCTTCAGACAGTAAGATTTATTTATTTTTTACTATATGAATATATTGAAATCAATGACCCCAAGGGCGGGGGCAATTTTGACCCCAGGGCTATAATTTGAACAATCTTGCTGGAGGTTTACTACACAATGTTTCATGCAAAATATCTAACCTCTAGCATTTGTCAATTGCTAGAAGATTTTTTTTTGAAGTTTTTACTATAAGTTTTTACTATATACATATAAGAAAAACCAATGACCCCCGGGGCGGGGCCGATTTTGACCCCAGGGCTATAATTTGAACAATCTGGGTAGAGGTCTACCAGACAATGCCTTATGCAAAATATATAAGCTCTAGGCATTTTGGGTCTTTACAAGAAGGTGTTTTAAGTTTTTACTATATGTACATATAGTGAAAATCAATGACCCCGGGGCGGGGCCGATTTTGACCCAAGGGCTATAATTTGAACAATCTTGGTAAGGGTCTACCAGACGATGCCTTATGCAAAATATCTAAGCTCTAGGCCTTTTGGTTTTTTACAAGAAGGTATTTTAAGTTTTTACTATATGTACATAGTGAAAATCAATGACCCCCGGGGCGGGGCCAATTTTGACCCCAGGGCTATAATTTGAGCAATATTGTTAGAGGTCTACCAGACAATGCCTTATGCAAAATATCTAAGCTCTAGGCCTTTTGGGTCTTTACAAGAAGATTTTTTAAATTTATTCTTATAATTCCTTTTGGTTGCCATGGCAACCAGATTTCTGCATGGAATGAAATTCTTTGAACAACTTTGGAAGCCCTTCACCCAAGGAACAATCCTGCCAAGTTTGGTTGATATTGGACTAGTGGTTTTTCACAAGAAGATTTTTTAAGTTCACTATATAATCTATATAACACACACACAAAGACACACACAAACACACGCACACACACACAGGTGAATCGCTATATGCCACCGCATCGCAGATGCTGCGGTGGCATAAAAATAAATCAAGATTAAAGTAATAATTTACATGTTATATGTGTTTAATGCCTGATTTTGCAGTATTTAACACCATATTTCTATTGTGACTAATGCAGTAAGGGCTACTTTTGCATATTCTGACTTCTTTGGGAGTAGTTTTCGCCACTTGCAATGTGTAAGTAACTATTTTTTTGTTTATTTGACAGTATTACAGGTTGTTTTTTTCTATTAACCTTTTAAAAACTTTCATGCCAATTTGCATGAATGTGGAGACATGCTGGTTTTAAAATCTGTAACTAGTAAACTTGTCAAATTTAAACCAGATGTGTTTTCTTTTTACACATTATCAACCTGGAAAGGATTCAAGAAAACTTACATTAGCTCTGTTAATTGTAGGAGACCACCAGAGTGTAAATCTTCTGTTAGGAATCTGGTTCAGACCGGATCTCTGTGCATTGGTTAGCTTCTTGTACTTCATAGACTCCTCAAAACCGCTTGCCTTTTCCCTGTTAATATACGAATGATAGTGTAATACTATAGAGATGTACAAATCTAATTTCTTTGTTATGTTCCTTAAGGATAGCAGCTGTAAATATTGTTTATTTTCCACCTTTATTTGTGTAAGGCTCCAAATGAACACATTTTCAAGGGTCATCTGGTAATCATTTGAACGAGATGAAAATGTTCTTCATCTCTTACTTTTACAGTTTAAAAGAGAACCAGTCTGGTAATAATCATTCCAAAACTTCTCATGTAAAGATCAGAAGATTTTCCTGTCATACAGTCAGTGTATTAAATTTTTTTATGGGTCGCCCTGTAAAGGTCATACAGCAACTTTTTAAGCTGTACTGGTGGAGGGAGACCTCAGGTGCCACTTTAAGCATTTTTTCAGGCACAAACGGCCACATGAGTAGAACCACCAACCTTTCGTAATCAAGCTGGATAGCTTTCTCAAATGACAGAATCCAAAGTCCCTAGACGGATTCAAACCCGCATTAGTGAGTGGCAAGTGGTTTGAATACCCAAGACCTTAACCACTCAGCCACAGACTGTATGATAATTAGATTTATATTTATATCTCCTGAATTAAACAACCAAAGCTTAGCAACAGGTACCAAACCAGATCAGTTAGCACATCCATACAGTCTGACTGGTTGATCAACTTCAAAATTTTCATCTTGATACATCTCAGCAAGTTCAATCAAAATTAAGAGCAAACTTTTGACAATACACTTTTCTTCACATCATCAATGTTAACTTCTAGCCTATTTAACAAAATGTCAGTACAATCCGTCATAAGGAAATCCAATTTAATACAATATTTCCTTTTGGATTTATATTCAATTCAATACTTCATATGGCATAACACAACATAAAGCATATAACCAGTAATATCTAATGTAACACAAATAGGTACATACCAGAAGAGACCTTCCCATGTAGGGAAGTATGTCCCCTTGAACAGAGTATGTTCTAATATACCCTCAACACCACCGAGAGCTTGTATCATATCTGTCCTGTAGTTGTTCAAATTCCACAGTTTACCGTCGTGACGTTGATGTGTCCACCAGAATGGATTCTGCTTCAAAACCTGGAAAGAAAATTGAAATATATTGATGAAAGTCTCATTTCAAAACACACCAGATAGTCTGTATTTCATACAAAAATTTTGTAAAGATCTTAACAATGCAAAGGGATGTAAATAAAAGTCAAATATTTGCATTCCTTAATAAATATTCAAAGGAATTGTTTTTAAAGTGCAATTAATTTATTATTTTCCACAGGCACGTGTTTCATGAAGGGATGTAAATGAAATTTGCATTCCTTATGAATATTCAAAATATTTTTTATTTTTTCTTTAAATTGGAGTTTTTCATTTTAAATGTGCAGTTAAGCCATGATTTTAGACGGGCAAATCATAATTCGCCAGACATCATTCTTCCCATTAAGGACATTATATTGTCACAACTATACCTGATAAGCTTTGAACTCGGTTCTCACTCTCCAGCCCTTGTCATAGGCGAGGGTGTGTCTGTCCTTCTGGAAGAGGGTGTTAATCCTAGGTATACCACGGTCCCAGCTGTCCTCCAAGTCCTCGAGGGTTAGACGACGGTTCTGGGCGTTGGCCTCCTGTCTCTTCAAAGCATACTCCGCCCATACTCTCTGGGAATCTATGAACTCGCTTTCCCATGGCATAATATATCTAGCAAGATAGAAAAAATAAGTTTACTTTTCAAATAGTCAATAAAATACTTGATTGCATCATAAACAGTTAATGAATCTATTTATTTACAAATGCTACCATATTCAAGACATTTAACTTAATTGACAAAGATAACAAAAACATTTTTGCAAGTTGACTTCAATGTCAAACCAAAAATGTTCAGATCAAATGCAGACTTTATTTAACCATCCACTATACTTACTCAAATTTCTTTTTATATTATTTTCTTATAGTGGAGACAACACTATGAAAGCCAAGATATGGCAACTTTCTAGACAGAAAATCTCCAGCATTATTTCAGGCACTAATGTAATACCATTGTCCTGCAAGAGGCTTCTTTGAAAAATTAGAAATCTTGCTTCATAGCTCAAAACTTTACACATCTTTAAAGCAGATATTGTAACACAAAAGTTTTATATATTTTATTCTACTAGGCAGGCTAATAATAAATCTTGATAGACAAAACATAAGCAATTAAATTAAGTAGTTAGTTCTAGATACCTGTACAAGTTAGGGATAAGCTGGTCCTCGTCATGAGACATACCCGACCTAAAATGTGTGATACCCACATCTGTCTGCTTGGACCATCTCAGATCTGACTGAGGTATCAAAACATGTCCCATACTCAACATTCCCAAACCTGACATGGGGAAATAAACACAATAGGGTAGAAATATTATATTTAAACAAACATTGAATAGCTAAAGAAAACTATCTGACCATTGACTTGTTTATTGTATCTAACACTTTTGTTGACTCATTTTTTGTTTTATTAATTCTATGAGGTATAACACAAGGTATATATATATATATAAAAAGGTTTACGTGCAAATATAAATGTACATTGTACAAACCAAAACAAGCATAATTATTTCCAAATTTTCTAATCTACTGAGATTTACGAAGTCACGATCCAAAATATGTAACCCTGAACGCAGCACATTTTGATTTTTCCCATCTAGTACAGGGAAGAAACATTTTTTTTCGCTTAAAGCTCCATGGTGCAATACTGTTCACAGTAGCGCTTCAAGTGTTACACTTATCAATATATTTATCAAGATGCAACTGTTGAAAGTTGCTTTATCCCAGGATTTGCTGGGAAAACACCACATTTGCAGAGTTCAGGACATTCTCTAGAATGACATTGAAACATATGGTGTTCACTCATCATCTAAAAATATTTCAGGCATTTGTTCTTTTAAAATGAAATATGTTAAATCACAGACTGATAAGTGGCAAAATAATGTAAGTATAATAGTTCTAGGTATACCTCCCAACTCCTTTGGTGTATAGAAGACTACAGGAGGGAACCTGCTGGGCATTTTAGAGTTGAGACCGATCTTAATACGGGTTTGAATCTTGTTTTCACACTTTACTAGTAGGTCCAACAGTTCCTGTGTGTTGACTACAGCCTCTCTAAAGTAGGTCATTAATCCAATCAAAGCTGTGTTCCACTTGTTTACAATCTGAAATATTGTAAAATTAAAAAAATAAATTGATTTTTGTATAAGCATTGCATTGTATACTAGTTTAAAATCAAGAAGATTCTATAGAGCAACATCAAAAATGTCCACTTAAATTTTCTTAAAATCTGTTTAAACTGATCTTTATATAATGTCCCAATGTATTAACATGAACAGTTTGGTTTTAAAAAACAAAATAGAAACTTGCAAAAACTGAAAAATTTCAACAAGTTTTTACAGTAACTTGGCTAAAAACCAAAGTGTCAAAACCATCGTTTAACAGTGAACACCAAGAATTCATATTTTATGTATTGGAAACAAACCTTTGTAAATGTTGTGGATCCGGATGCCATCAGGATCTGTCTGACACGATTATGGAACTTGTTCATAGACTCATCATCTACCCTCAGGAAACACTGCGCTGTACGCTCTTTAGTTACCTATATCATGGGACAAAACAAAAACATTATTTATTATTCATCACTTTACCTTAAAGTTGTGTGTGAAAACAAAAATTAAATCAAAAAAAAATATTTAAGTGTTTTATATGATGTAGATGTACCTTAAAGGGTTCAAAGGAGTATAATAGGGACTAAATACTCCAATGAGATGAATGGAAGCAAAAAATCCAAATATTTAATAATCAAAATATTTTGATAAATCAAAATGATATAAAATTTACTTACTGACAATTTTTGTTTGATTACAGCTATGAACCAACAGTTATACCAATGTTCTAGATACATTACTTTGCAGTGCCTAATAATTCAGTTATGTATGTATTTCAACTGTCTTAAAAAAGACATGTACTCCCATCTAGGAAATTCCAAATTTGTTGGACCAACTGACCACAATTTTTTTCGTTTAATGATAAATTGACAATTACCCCTCATACATTATAATTACTTTTAACTTTTCCACAAATAAGACATTCCTTTCACCTAGGGCACTTTGGACCTATTGGTCAAACAGAGCAAGCAAATCAAGCAACTATAACAACCTATCTGAAACATATACTGATTAAGCGCTACATACAGGTAAGTATCAGACATTTATTAACTTGACAGTTATACATGACATACCTCATTCTGTAAATTCCACACTCCATCCCTGTGTGTAAACTCTTCATGTGTTGTTCTACACTTGGGTAAAATCCTACACTCAAATCCACACATGTTAAATAATAAGTTGGGATTGTCTTTACTGTATACAGAAACAAAACTGCCGTCCCATTCTATAGTTGTCACAGATCGAGGTAATCTGTTCTTGATATCCCAAAACACTGCCCTACCTCTGTAATAAAGTAGTAGAGTATTCCATTTAAACATTCGTTAAATAAAGTAGTAGAGTTTTCAATTTATACATTCCTTAAACTTATCATCACATCATAAAGACATTAAGAATTATTAAGAAATAAAAATATCCCAAAACACTGCCCTACCTCAGTAATATTAAAGTTTTCCATTTATACAGTTGAAAGTTATCGTCACAACTTAAGACATTAAGAATTACTAAGATATAAAAATCTTGTTTACTGGTCAGATTTCCTTTATTTTGTTCATTCTATCTTAAAGCTCAAACCAGGGGCCATAGTCACATTTTAATGTACGAAAATGGAAGCTCTTGTCCGCAGGTAGGTTGTATCCGAGAACAAATTACTAATTGATTATCATTATGAATAAAGACGTTGTCACCATGATTAAATTTGTCAAATCTTAAATCAATATTTCCATGATTTATTGGCATAGGAGCAAACAGATATTTATTCTTACATCTTTTCTTTCCCCCTATGTGGTCAATGCATAGATTCTTCGCATAAGTCATTTTCTAACTAAATCTGTTATAGGTAAGTTTTAAATGAACCTCACATAATGAACATATCAAAGCATAAATTACATAGTATCTTTAAACCACACAATTATTTGAGTAAATAACTTACAAGTTGACATCATGTTTCATTAGCCTCATTCTAGAATCTCTCGGCCAGCATTTCTTGTTGTTGTAGCCCACAATGTTCTCATTGTTAGGGTCAGGATGTTCTGTTAAATAACGCTGTATCAGATCACGAGCTTCCTCAGCTGAAAATCTAAAATACAAAAAATGTAATTAGAATATTTGCTGTAAAATCTTCAGCTTAATATCAAACATCTCAAATGAATACAGTAAACTCCGCTTATAACAAACTCATTGGGACATTCAAAATCTGTTCCTTATATCCGGAGTTCCTTGTAAGCATATAGCGAATTAGTTCCTTGTATCAGAACAGTTTTAGCGAACAGTTTTACATATAACGAACTAATTGTTTACCATCGTCCTCCATTTTGAAGATCATTTGATTAAGAGAAATAACTTTTGGGTCCGTCATTGTTGTCTCCCTTATATTGATTCAATAAAGAAAAAAAGGAATAATTGCAATGTTGTTTCTTTTTAATATATTTTTTATGTATAAATATATCTATAAGATAATTATATGATATGAACCATATATGCAATATTGTTATTTATTAACAATACAGTATCATGCACAAAAATAATCACTTTGCTTTGAAGAAGTCGCTAAATTTAGTTTGGGAATGTTTACAACTCTTCAGGTTTAATTAAATATCCAATAAACTTTTAAAAACTGTTTCTCTAACATGTGCATTAGACTCGAAATATGACCTAATCTTGTGCAAACAATCAATAGCTTCATTCTTTGACACAACCGGCAGATCATCTAAATAGATCTCGTCTTCGGATGATTGACTGTCATCGTCATTCATTGTTCCTAATGTATCCGCTACATTCGGCCAAGTTTTACTCTGTGCCGATGAAAACGATGATAGAAAATGCGTGACCTGTTCACGGATAGCCGATATTTTGGAGTTCGTTATAAAAGTGTAATTTTCAGTACTTTTTATGGCATTGGGACTAAAAAATGAGTTCCTTATAAGCGATAATTCCTTATAACCGTGTTCGCTGTAACCGTCATTTTTTACATGAAATAAAGAAGGGCAAAATTCGGGCCAAACAATTTTGTTCCTTATAACCGGAAGTTCGCTATAACCGTGTTCGCTATATGTGCAGTTTACTGTATGTGGAAATTTTCTAACAGTTTTAACAAAGAGTACCAATATCATAAAGTTTAATCCTTCAATGTAAGTTTTATAAAACCTTTTCCATACTAAGTCAACAATTAGCTATGACTACACTTAAAACATATTTTTCTTCATGATAAAATAAATTAAACATAGTAACCTTAAAAGAAAATTGGGTATGTAGTTTAGTACAAAAATTTTCAGCATTTTTATAATTATGCACTGTTTTTTATCCATTGTTTTTTATGCATTGCTCCCCCCCCCCCCCCCATGACACAACAATTCACAGATGAGACACTATTTATTGTTTGTTATACTGTTATACCTGAAATATATATGGATCCTATCCACATATCTTGAGTACAGCCTAATTGGATGGGCCGCCTCTGTATTAACATCCTGGAACTGCAGGAAGGCGTTGGGCATCTGAGGGGGACCAGCCATCTCAGAGGCTCGCATCAAGCCGAGTACCAGCAAGTCGAGTACCAGTCCGTAATACTGGGTGATGAACGAAGCAAACTGTAGACCCCGAATAATACCATATGAATTTGTGTGGTTCATATCCTATAAAAGACAAAGTTATGATTTATAGTCAATAGTATCAGGTTATTCTGAAAATGACACAAAAAGTTAACACATTTATTCTTATTTTATATCTAATTCAACAAAAGGGGGCAATTATTTTTTGAATGTCTCAGCTAGGAGTTAAGATTTTATCAGGTTAGATACTCTATCTATACATTCAATCCAAAACCAGCTTATTCAAAAAAAGAATTTATCCTTTACAGAGCCTCTTAAATGTAATTTTAAGGCGATCAAGGGACGTAAACATGTTTTGACTAAAAATCTGTTAACTAAAATGACATGCAGGTAGTATAACTACAGGCTTTATTAACAATGTAGCCTAATACTAATATACCTAAAATTACAACAGTATGGTCATATCATACAGAATGTGACATCATTTTCAGCTATTCAAAAAAAGCATTTATGCCTAGATTCTGATGAGGAAACATCATTTATCCTTAAATTTGAATTGGATAGAGCACATGTGCAGTAGAGAACTGTTCCCTGCTCATAAGACAAAATGCTGCTTCAAATAGCTTAAGATGATGTTAAATATCTTATATATGATGTAATATATTCGAATTCATCAGAATTTACTGAAATTCAAAATAGACAAAAAGAAATTCAAAATCAAGACAAAGAGTATGTCAGAGTGTACAAGCACCTTATAGTTGATAACAACATTGTTTTTGGCTGTCATGTAATCAGCAATATTATGGTCTACGATCAAACGTAACAATCTGTTGAGTAGTGTCAAATCTATCTTCTCGTACATCTTCTCAAACTTTGTCTCCATCATCACGTTACACTCTCCTTCTGCTGTGTCCCATACATCCTGCAAGTTGTTGATGCCTGAAGTATGATAGTAAAATAATATCAGGGTAGTCACACAAAGGAAACTTTTGTAACCCTTAAAACAGCATGAAATCTTAATCATTACTATATAAGTTTAGTTACCCACAGGAAACTTTTGTAAAAATTAAATAGCATGAAACTTTAATATTACTTTTTAAGGGTAGTCACAAAAAAGAAACTTTTGTAAAAATTAAATAGCATGAAATCTTTAATATAACTATATAAGTGTAGTCACAAAAAAGAAACTTTTGTAACATTTGAATAGCATGAAATCTTTAATATAACTATATAAGGGTAGTCACAAAAAAGAAACTTTTGTAAAAATTAAATAGCATGAAATCTTTAATATAACTATTTATCACACAAGAGCGATCAGTAATCACATGTGTCGCCTCATAATGGCCAATTTCATGTTGGGACAAATTTTGTGACAGACGGACAGTGCACAACTAGACTTGGTACTGATCAATCATGTAAAGTTTGGATAAAATTGCACCAGTAGCTTATGAGGAGTAGTCCGGACAAGCTTTTGCGTATCTGGCAACACACAGAAAAAAACACCTTTTTATCAAAGGGCCATAACTCAGCCAAAAATCATTCAACCGGAAAACCCGTGCAATATGCGCAAGGACTTGAGCTACAGATCAATCCTGTAAAGTTTCATTGAAATTGCATAAGTGGTATAAGAGAACTAGTCTGGACAAACTTTAAAAATAAAAATTATTTAAGGGCCATAACTCTGACAAAAATCATTGAACCGGAAAATGCTGACAATATGCACAAATACACTTGGTACTGATCATTCCTGTAAAGTTTGGGTGAAATTGCACCAGTAGTTTATGAGGAGTAGTCCGGACAAGCTATTGTGTATCTGGCAACACACAGAAAAAAACACCTTTTTATCAAAGGGCCACAACTCGGCCAAAAATCATTCAACCGGAAAACCCGTGCAATATGCGCAAGGACTTGAGCTACAGATCAATCCTGTAAAGTTTCATTGAAATTGCATTAGTGGTATAAGAGAAGTAGTCCGGACAAACTTTAAAATTAAAAATTATTAAAGGGCCATAACTCTGACAAAAATCATTGAACCGGAAAATGCTGACAATATGCACAACTAGACTTGATACTGATCATTCCTGTAAAGTTTGGATGAAATTGCACCAGTAGTTTATGAGGGGTAGTCCGGACAAGTTTTGTGACGGACGGACAGACGGACAGACAGACAGACGGACAGACAGACGACGGAGAAGTGATCCCTATATGTCGCCACTACTCCGTAGAGGCGACACAATAAACCGCGGCGCAGGAGTGTTATAAAGCCATTTAATAAAAACGATATTACACTAGTGTAATAATACTTTGATGTGACGTCATTTGCTCTATATATAAACATAGCGTTAAAGCGCGCTAATGTTAGCGTTACACTATAAACATGTCATTGAAAAATTACTTATTTTAACAGTTTAATGTTCTTATTTTATTTATGTGATAAAAAGAATATTATATTCCTGTAGATTTGGTACTAAATTTATTGAACTTGTTGAATAAAACAATATTATGCTCGCCAGAGGCTCGTATAATATGATTTTATTCCACTTGTTCAATAAATTTAGTATTAAACTACACTCATTCAATATCCTCTATATAAGTGTAGTCACAAAAAAGAAACTTTTGTTACATTTGAATAGCATGAAATCTTTAATATAACTATATAAGTGTAGTCACAAAAAAGAAACTTTTGTCAAATTTGAATAGCATGAACTCTTAAATATTACTATATAAGGGTAGTCACAAAAAGGAAACCTTTGCAACATTTGAATAGTATGAAATCTTAAATATTACTACAACAAGAGCCGGTGATGCTCCCCGAACACGTCGTCTCAATATGGTGATCACTTCTGTCAAATAATTTTAAAATCCAACTTCAAATAACAAAGTTATGGGCCGGACACAAATTCGGGACATACGTACGTACGGACTGACAGACTGACGGACAACCCGACGACTATATGCTCCCCCGAAATTTTTCGGGGAGCATAAAAAAGGTAGTCACACAAAGGATCTTTAATAATACATTTCAATTTCCCTTTTTTTTCCTATATCTAATATACATTACCTTGACACCATTTGTATACAAGAGTGGGAGGTGGTTCTAGATCGGCTGGTTTGATCCATGGAGGAAACAACCGTCTCTTGTCAGCCTCGTACCACAGGTACTGGTCCAGGTACGCGTCTGTTATCTTCTCGAGGGGTTCCACATCAAACACCGGTATCAGGTGACTGTACAGATCCATAAACTCAATACCAGTCTAAAATTTAAACAATATACATATATACCAGTTCATCAGCAGTATTCTAAATAGAATTTTAAACTACATAACAAAACAAGAGCCATCAGTGATCACATGTTTTGCCTAATTATAGCCAATTGCATGTTGCAGCTACTGTGTAGCAGGAGACACTAAAATCATTAACAACCTAAAACAAGATTTTTAATTCAAGGGCCATTAATGAGCCAAAAATCATTCAACTATAAAATCCATGTAATATGCAAGATTGTTGTATTAATATTTAATACCATGTCAATAAATGCGACCAATAAAACAAATTTTTACAAACAGATACAGAGCATAAGTTTTAATAATTGTTTTGTAAAAAAATATGTATTGGTAGGAAAACAACCAGACCAAGACAAAACAATGCAATAGTTATGTCTTTACCTAGGCAAAAACTGAACAATATATTAAACATATTTCAATATTTACCTCTTTGAAAGCTCTCTGTGTTAGAAGATGACGTTTAATTCTGGACAAGGCCTCGTGAGGATTGTCATAGGCTTGCTCTATGAGACCCAACTCTTCTCTCTGTGACTGGTTTAACCTACAAACCAAAATATTACATCAGCTTATCAACTTTCTTTATTCATTACTTCAGCTTGATTAACAATCAGCGACTTATGTAGCATAAGATTTTTTTTTTTTATTACATTCATTTTGTTTGGATGAAGACTTCATGTGACCCCTCTGTGCATTATTTCAGGCACAATCGGGCACCTGAGAAGAACCATCGAAAGGCACAGATGGTCCATAAGCTAGCTGGATAGCTTTCTCACAGGACAAAATCCAAGCGAGCTTGTGCGGTTCGAACACACAGTAGTAAGAGGCAAGCGCTTTTATGTCAATGGCCTTAATCACTCGGCCATAGATGCCGCATCAGTGATGAAGGTACAGATTTAAAATTGGCAGGAAAAAAAATGACAAAACATGACAAACAATGATTACCTGCTTTTCACACTGTATGCTTCTTTCAACCTTTCTAAAGCTAAGATAAGAAGTTTGGTATCGTGCTTGTATGACAGTGGAGGAAAAGGGATAGGAGAAAATCTCCTACTCTCCAGCCAATGGACAGTTGTTGTGTAGATAGCCACACCCTCCTCTGGTGTAATGTATGGACCATCCTAAAATCACAAGTTGAATCATATACCATTTAATTTAAATGAGACTGCAAGACATAATCAATTAAAACACTACAAAAAGCAGTTAAATCTATTCATTTGGGAAAATTTTATTCAATTTTCTTAAATGCAATGTTTTAGTTACAGAAAATAGACTAAAACTTTTATCATATATGACTATAAGATCACAAAAAACAATGAATATCAGGGATTTCATTTTTTTCTTTGCGGCAAAAGATGTGCCAAAGAAAACCGATTTGGCATATGGTCAAGATGGATATTTAAATCTACAGCCTGAAAATACAACCAATTTTTACAGCATTTCAACCGATGATATGAATTGCCAATCAGTTAATAATGATAACCCTGAATGTACAGTTCATATTTGTGTAGCATATTTTGCCAGTTACATCTTTACAACCTTGTTAAGAAGAAAAATAAATAACAACTCAATCTTTGATAGTAAGATATAAATCTAACCTTGAGATAATTATGCTGCCTTTCCTGTTCTGCCTTCAGATATAATCGTGTCAGTCTGCCGAGATTCTTCTTACATACAGTCTTATCTACCTATAACCAGAACATAAACGTTTACCAATCAATCATACTCTAAATATACTTTATCTACCTATAAATGAATTATAGACTTCACTCAAAAATCATACTTGAAATATACTTTGTCTGCTTATTAACATGAACTTAACAATGCCATTCCATAGTTCTCATATTTAAACAGTAATAACTCCTTATAGATCATTATTTCATAATTGATTTAGAAAAAAAACAAAACCTTGCACAGTAGTTACAAGATTGTACCAGTTCTTACCTTTCCTTTCTTACAACAGGAACTGCCAATTTCTATGCATAATATTTTGAAAACATGAGGGCCAAAGTCATAACTTTTCTCATTATTTAGCTTACCAGGAAAGTGTTAGAAATTGTAAGGATGCATTATTAATCAAAATATTATGTTTTAATTTAGACTGGTTTCAGAGAAAGACTGTGATCACATTGATACCCCATGTGTCTGGTCTCCCACACTCCCCTGTCTGGTCCAACGACCATACCACACAAGTTGGAAACTCTCAAGTTGAGGCAAGTCAAGACCATTGTATATCTATGCATTTAAACTTTCTAGCCAGTTACCTTACGCCAGCCAGTCCCAATAATGCAATTTACAAAATGATGGGGAATGAATGTGATGATAAATGATGATGTGATGATAGTGATGAAAGATGGGGAGGGTAAACCAGTCACATGGTGTACATCAGACCTTTTACAACAGCATCATTAACCAGTCTTTGCCATATGAACACATCTGCAGATGATCAAAATTTCCCCATTTTCATGTTAAAATGTTGCATCCTGCTTATGGACACGTTAGGGGCATGGAAGGCAACTTGCACTTTTCCAGTATTGTCCAAGTACAGGCTAAATCAAGTCTAGCCTTCAACATTTTCAATTTTGTCGTTTTCTGCAGGTTTTTTTTTTAGGGATTCAGTTTATCTCTTTTTTGACATCTCTTTTTTGACACAATTACATTGTATAACCTTATGAAGCTGAACAGCTTCAAATTCCTAACTTGGAATGACATCTATTGGCAAGAATTGCAGTAAGAAATAACAAGAAGACAAAATTTTTGAATTATCTCCCTTTTTTTAAAGTAACTGGGTAATGTTTAAATCTTAGTGTTGTTTATTAAACCATATCATACCAAATGTAAGATATACTTACTGTTGCACCCCTCCTGATTCTCTCCCTGTTGTAATGAGCTGTGTTTGTCCACCAATCTGCCTTGGCTTTCACATATCTCAAGATCATATTCTCTATAGGGATGGGTAATCCTGGTACCTGATTAACACAAATTACTTTTTCAAAAGATTTTCTTTACTTAAATTTAATTATATTTCAAGGGAACTTCAAGGGAATGGCAACAACAACAACAAACAGTATCAATTTCTTATAAAATTATAAAAGTGCTTTGTTTTGACATTATTGCAACTATGACGCAATCATTTTTTCTCAATATGTATGAATTTTGTAAGTCGCAATTTGGTAAAAACCTAATAACCTCCTAAATTTAAAATGTACAATAACCTAGAGAGAATTAATCTAAAATTTAGAACAAGTTTCAAACTTAAGTGAATAGGGACACGTCACTGCCTTAAGCAACATTGTTAACCACTCGGTCCCAATGAAAACAAAGTAATAATCATTCTTTTATTCAGTTGGGATTTTACGTCCACCAACACAGTCTAGGTCATAAGGCTACTTTTCGGTTTTACTGGTGGAGGGAGAATTCCATGCATTTCAGGCAGACTTTTCATTAGCTAGACACTTGGCCACAGATGCCAAAAAAGTTTAATCAAATCACATAACACCACATAAAGTTTATTCAGCACTAAATAATGTCTATAATGTTAATAGGGTACACTATCATGTATGTACAATCTGTATACATTTACTATTTACCTTCCATGGAATGTTAGCCTTCCAACACCTCCACGCCTCACTGAGATGCTGTAAGATGGTTCTTGCCTTGTTCTGTTTAATACCTTCAGGCATCATGTCCAAAATGTCATGCATCACCTGTCAAAACAAACATATGTATATAAACCATTTATGCCTCTATTGTATTCTACCGACCAAGTTTACTTCTACTTCAATAGAGTAACTGTTATGTTGAGAGTTAACAAGAAGTTTGTTTTTATATAAAAATATCTAAACAAGATACTGACAACTGTAAACACCTGACAACAATGCATTAACTGGATTGATATTAATGACTATAATCTCATTTCCTATTTTGAAAGGACAAAATATTTCTTTCAATAAATTAGCTTTTTTAATCAATATCGTGACCAAATACATGTCATTTCAGTACCAAAATAGCACATTTGTCTTTGTGTTGCAGAAAATTTTCATAAAGACAATTCATAATTTAAATAAGCCCTTATCCTATTATCTATTTTGTACTCAAATTATCATCTCACGGGAGTTATTCAAAGATTCAAATAATTTTAACAATAACTTACTGCTGCCCTCAATTCTAGATCATAATGCGACTCCACACGTTGCTTAGTTACCGTCTTAGCAACCCCTTTAGAGTGACGACCTTCAAACTGCCTGGACAGCAAGTTACCCAGCCATCTCTCTAGTAAGGGTGTGATACCTCGCATGAAAAACAACCATACACGCCACCCTGGAGCCCATATACCACAACCTGGACCTTTACCAACAGGACCCTGTAAATCATAGAAATTACATTTCAATTCTGAACACTTCAATACCACATATTTGTTTGATAGCATTGTTAACATTTAAATGCATGCACTTCTAAAATGTATAAGTAAGATATTGGATATCGCTAAGCTTTACAACTGCTAAACAACTTGCTAGCCAAACCATATCTTTGCAACATAAGTGACTTAATTATGAAATTTTAATCAAAGCATCTAAATATTCATTCCAAAACAATCTTGTAAAATTCGGCCTTCCTCTTTGAGTTCCATGGCAATAATGCTATTTTAACAAACTATGACAGCTTAAGATTGAGTATGCACACACAATATGAAAACTATCTGTTCTGTTTTGATTTTTTTTGTTGGGTATTTTATCGCACCAACACAGTTAAGTTCAAATGGCGACTTCAGGTCGCACCTTTGTTTGTTTTTGTTTTTGGGTTATACGTCACATCGACACAGTATAGGTCATATCGCAACCTTCGAGCTTTACTGGTGGAGGAAGACCTCAGGTGCCCCATCCGTGCATTATTTCAGGCACAAATGGCAACCTGAATAGAACCACCGACGTTCTGTAAGCAAGCTGGATAGAACCATTCATTTATTCTTATCTTTAGTGATTGAGCTAAATGGAACATAAAACACACTATATACATGTACTTACTGTATTAAATCTGTAGTATATAACATGTTTGAGATCTTTACACATTCTTATCTGCCTCATCAACTTGTATTTATATCTGTACATTCCAGTCAGCTGACCAACATGGGAGAACACATACTGTAGACCATCTGCTAACTGTAATATACATTTCAAGACCACATGATATAAGATGCTGTTAAAAACTATTCAAAACCCAGTATAAAGTTGAAAATACATCAACTTCAGAACAAATGAATGCATCAAAATTACTTGATTATATAGAAGTCTAATCAGTCAAATTGTCAAACTTTGCGAGCCATTTCATATTGAAGGCAAGTAATTTTTCACTTTTTCAATGGATTTTTAAATCCCCATCATATTGTATTGGACATATCTTATGGCATTTTCCAGCTTTCTGGAAGAAGTGCATTAATAAGAGCTGTCTGTAAGACAGCCCTCTCAACTATTCTCCATGTGACAGAAATAAAATGAGCATTTCTCTGTAGATAGGTACCGGTAACTCAGAGTTAAAGGTCCTGTGCCCATCATGATAGATAATCATAGAGACCAAGGAGATAACAATTTGCATGTAAAAATTTAAACAAATAATGACAGCAAAGCCCACACCAGGGCTAGTACAACAGACCTCCCTCTTCTTCCAATTGTCAAGCTAAAGACATATTCACACATCTTAGGTGAACCACTGTCCTTCCCATAAGCTAGTAGGATGACAGATATAACATTTTTGGCAGAATTTGACACAACAATGGTTAGGTCAAGATATTGGACACCACACACCTTTAAGCAAGGTAAGCATCAATGAAATATTGCACCCAATAATAAAACTATTATGAAACTTGCAGGGTTGTCATTTAGAGGCGGCAGGAGGCCAAAATGCCTGTCTCAAATGCATTATGGGCCGCCTCAAAATTAAGAAAACACTCTTTGTTATGCATGATTAAGACAGAAATGACCGCCTCAAGTTCAAAACAAACCTTCTGCAAAAAATATTAATGACAACCCTGACTTGATGCACTATTAAAAACATTGTATGACTGACCTGGAAAGCATCAACATTTCCTAATCTGTACTGTACAAAGCTGTCAACCACAAGCTTGGTCAACCTAAGCACTTCACGACACAGATGGAAAGCATTTCCGAACCGAGATTTCTTTCTTTCTTTTGTTGTCAATGTCTTCACAGGTTTAAGATTAAAGTTGTAATCCAGATGAAGGTAGTTTAGATTTTTACGATGAATGAGGAGGTTCAACATGTTGTAACCTTGACGACATACTTGTAGTCCTACCTCCACCCAGTCTAATTGCGTTGTCTCGAAAAACTTGGTAGCTTTAAATGATCTGAACAGATACCTGGGAAAAGTCAAAGAAGAGATATGTAATTATTCCTTTGTTAGAAATTTGAACAATTAACCCAGTGCTTTGTCTCATTACTACAACATTGGTCATACTAGAATCACATCGGCACACTTCCATCAAACCTGTGAACATACATGTTACTATAGTCGCTAGAACAGTTATGGTACAAGTGTACAAAGCTTCCTTTATACTGATATAGTCTTCAGCATAAATTTGGTTTTATTTATATAAATTAAGTAACTCACTTTCTGACAATAAGTAGAAGTAAATAAATTTTTTGACCTTGACTAGTAACTAGATTGCATTTGTTTCTAAAAAATTTTCAACACAATTAATATACAAGATATACATGTACCTCTTCTTCTGTGACTTGGGCGGTCTGTGTTTTAAGGCGTTCAGTACATAATACTTTAGAAGTTTCTGGTATGAGACTCGAACCTTTACTGGCATGCCAGCTGGTGGATGCTCCCGGTACCAGGACTTCACGAGTGGCACATCAATTGCTCTCCTTGTGCGGCCGGATCTAGTGTTGAAGGGTCTAGGAGCCCAGAGTAAGGCAATGCCATTAGCTGTGTTATCGGTGTATAAAGGTGTGTCATGCATGAACGGCTGAACGTATTCCGGCAGCTCAAACTCTTCATCATCATCTGGTAGGGGATCTGTGCTCTGTAAGAAGTATATTGGTAAATTTTTTTTCTAATGCCATTAATGCGTCTACAATAGTGCATGTATAGTGACTGCCAAATGGTCATTCTAGATTGCACATACAGCTTAGCATAACCTAGTTTAGCATAACATACCAACAATTGCTTGAATAAGAGAAAGGCAAATAGCTTGCCATGTATATAGCAATATATTTTGCTTGACTTAGCATTTGCTACGGTATCAAGCAGCTGTTATTTCTTTAGGTGAGGGAAGAGACCTTCCCTTTAAATTTTGGGGAAAAATAATACAGCATATTTTCAAACTTGATAAAAAATTTTAAATTATAAGGGTACAAATGCATGACTGATGAATTTTCAAAAGAGGAAGTAGCCCTGCTATATATGGGAAAAAAGCACTGTCAAGTAAAGAGGTTTATTATAGGAAGTCTTATGTTGTGTTTAAACCAAAACTTTCAAACCCAGCAGTATAATTATTCTTTTTGCATTTCAACCTGTCAGCTAACAGAAGCACTTGATAAGAACTTTTACCAAACTGTAATAATAGAACCTCCATCCATTCTCCATATACATCAATGTAATTTCATTCCTAATATAAGAATTTCAATGAACATATAGATTTATGTTATATTTACCTTGTTAGTGTGTCTGTGAGATATGGGGTTGATGAGAGGGTCGAAGTAGAAGGCAGGTAAATCAGGATCCTCCGTCTTGATAAATACAATATTGGGCCAATGATACCTAGAAATATATAAACAAGAAGATGAGCAGCCTCTCTAACAGTAAAATATACAAATATCACTAACAAGTACCATTTTCTGATATTAAGGGCAAAAAAATCATAGCCCTTCAGCTTTGTTAACACAACTAACTTATGAAAATATATTCAAAATGTTAACATGCATTACGAGAACATTCTTAAATTTGAAAAATATTCTTATACAGTTTTTCAAGTGACCTTCGTACATGTTTGTTAGCTTGTTTGTGATGAAAGCTTGTGCAGGCTTATAAGTAGAACTTTTCCAGTTCTCTTTCCTTGAACTAATCAGTACTAGTTCATACAAGAAATCACAATTGTGACTCAAAACCTATGATACCTCAGCTGAAAGGCAGATAAAACCTTATCCACTATGCTACATAATAATATTCCCTTATAGGCAAATGGTGAATATTTCATTTAAAAGCTACCACCAATAGCATAATGCCTTAAAATATAAGTTTATACAAATTTATAGTTTAGTTGGAAGCTATGGGCTTGTTTAAGACCCTCGCATCAGTTCCTAGACCCAACCAGAACTAAGCAATAAGTGTAGTTTCTTGTTCAAGGAAACAATGGCTTGCCCCTGACAGGGTTTCAACCCATGCGGTCAGCAATCCATAGAATACTTGTCCGACAAGTTTACCACTCAGCTACGCCACCACTATTCTTAAATCATTAAGACCCAAAAATGAATAATGCACTTACCATGACAGATGAACCTGGAATGGCAGGTTGTTATAAAGGTAAGGGAAAGCTATCCTGTACTCGGTCCTCACTGGCTGACGAATGATGATCTTGTTGATATCATTAAACTCATTCCAGTCTTCATCCCTGGTAATAAAACACAGTAATCTTAATACTAGAACTATCACTAAATGTGATTAATACCCCCACAAGTCTGCTTCGGAAATGAGGATGTTACTAGTAACAGAATACCTTGTAATAGAATTGAAACATAGAGTTATGGTTGTGGGCAATTAAAGATAATTGTGGTTCATGTATGTTGCATTTCCTTTCAATGTGGTTGGCCATTGATGAAGTTAAATTGAATTACTCTGTAATAAGTCCAGAAAGACAAAGAAAAAGAACAAAGGGCAATAACTCTATAAATACTGAAGATAGAGTTATAGTTCTTGTGCACTGCACTTCCTCTTATTGTGCTTGACCATTGTATGAAGTTGTTTTGAATTCCAACCAGTACGTTTTAAGTTATGCTCCGGACAAGGAAAAGTATCAAAGGGCAGTAACTCTGTATTTTGTCAAAATGGAGTTATGGCTCTTGTGCACTGCACTTCCTTTTAATGTCCTTGACAACTGTATGAAGTTGTACTGAATTCCAAACAGTAGTTTTCAAGTTATGCTCTGGACAAGGAAAAGTAACAAAGGGCAATAACTCTGTAATTAGTCAAGATGGAGTTATGGTTCTTATGCACTGCACTTCCTCTCAATGTGCTTGACCATTGTATGAAGTTATAATGAATTCCAACAATAAGTCTTCAAGTTATGGTCCGGACAAAAGAAAGCAATGGAAAAGTAACAAAGGGCAATAACTCTGTAATTAGTCAAGATGGAGTTATGGTTCTTGTGCACTGCACTTCCCCTTATTGTGCTTGGCCATTGTATGAAGTTGTTTTGAATTCCAACCAGTAGTTTTAAAGTCATGCTCTGGACAAGGAAAAGAAACAAAGGACAGTAACTCTGTAATAAGTCAAAATGGAGTTATGGTTCTTGTGCACTGCACTTCCTCTCAATGTGCTGGACCATTGTATGAAGTTATAATGAATTGCAACAATTAGCCTTCAAGTTATGGTCCGGACAAAAGAAAGCAATGGAAAGGTAATAAAGGGCAATAACTCTGTAATTACTTTAGATAGAGTTATGGTTCTTATGCACTGCACTTCCTCTCAATGTGCTTGACCATTGTATGTAGTTATATTGAATTCCAACCATTAGTCTACAAGTTATGGTCCGGACAAAAAAAAGAAGGCAATGGAAAAGCAACAAAGGGCAGTAACTCTTTAATTACTTTAGATAGAGTTATGGTTCTTGTGCACTGCACTTCCCCTTATTGTGTTTGACAATTGTATGAAGTTGTTTTGAATTCCACCAGTAGTTTTCAAGTTATGTCACGGACAAGGAAAAGTAACAAAGGGCAATAACTCTGTAATAAGTCAAGATAGAGTTATGGTTCTTGTGCACTGCACTTCCTCTCAATGTGCTTGACCATTGTATGTAGTTATATTGAAATCCAACCATTAGTCTTCAAGTTATGCTCCGGACAAGGAAAATGCAACAGACAAAAAAAAAAGCAATGGAAAAGCAACAAAGGGCAATAACTCTGTAATTACTTTAGATAGAGTTATGGTTCTTGTGCACTGCACTTCCCCTTATTGTGTTTGACAATTGTATGAAGTTGTTTTGAATTCCAACCAGTAGTTTTCAAGTTATGCCCCGGACAAGGAAAAGTAACAAAGGGCAATAACTCTGTAATTAGTCAAGATAGAGTTATGGTTCTTGTGCACTGCACTTCCTCTCAATGTGCTTGAACATTGTATGTAGTTATATTGAATTCCAACCATTAGTTTTCAAGTTATGCTCCGGACAAGGAAAATGCAACGGACGTCTGGACCGACCGACCGACCGACCGCCCGACCGACCAACCGACCGACCGTCCGACCGACCGACCACCGAGTGACTCCTATATACCCCCCCAAACTTCGTTTTTGGGGGTATAATAACCATCAATTATATATCACACTTCTTTATTGGGTTTAAATTTAAACTTTCAGAAACATGCTTACAGATTGATGCTAATTTTCAAGAAATATTTTTAAATGTATTATATTCATAATCATTGCAAAGCGCAAGAATGACCTATAAAATGTAATGATTGGTCAGGTTATAAATTTAGAGGAATAAGTCAATGCTTTTATTTCTATAGAAACCTTGTGGCTGGGGACACAAAGCACTATATGTTTCTAAACATACTAAACTAAAACTGCCAATGTTCCATTCATTTAATAAACATGGTCATGAGGACAGCATTAGCAGGTAAAAAAGAATATTCAATATCTGAATAAGCTATTAAGTATATAACTATTTCAACTTACTGCATTTCCTTGTCTTTAACCAGAGGCTCGAACTTTGGACCACCTGGGATGGCCATATTCAATGCCTTTGCTGTGAAGAATGACTTTAAATCAAACAGGTAGAAGTAGTTGTTGTCAACAAGATCTGTGAGCAGCTGGTTGCCAAGACGATACAACACGGACATGACCGGTAATGACAAGTTCCACTTTCTGTATGTGCTACCATTAACCGACCTGTCACATAAAATGAAAATGTGAAAATTTGTACCAAATCTGGGAACAAATAACAAGCTCCTTAACATGGATATTTGGGTATAAGAATAAAACTGGGAATAATAGGAAGAATGATTATACATAAATTTTGTTGTCACTATTTTTTCTTTAATGTTTTTGTTGGGTTTTATAAGTACACAGTATAAGTTATGTGGCAACTTTCCAGCTAAACTGGTGGAAGAAGACCTCAGGTTCCAGTTGGTACATAATTTCAGACACAAACGGAACGGGAGTAGAACCACCGATGCTCCGTCAGCTAGCAGGATAGCTCATATATAGAATCTGATGACCCTTGTGTGGCTTGAACTTACATCAGTGAGAAGCAAGTGCTTCGAAGTTGACGAATTCATTCAACCACTATGCCATGGACGCCCCTTCACTGTTTTTATCATTCTTTCAATATTTATCAGACTTGTATTCTAAATTGAGTATATTTTTTATATATAAAATCATATTTACTTTGTATCAACAAGTGGTTTATGATCATAGAACCAATCTGCGACACATTTATCCTCCTCGGGGTCCAGTTCAATCTGTATAGCCTCGAGGGGCTCAACATCTAGGATATTTCCTGCATAATCAAGGGGAGGCTCCTCGTCATCAAATGGAGGGAAACGCATACGCTTGAAGTGACGTCTGTCACGTTTTTCTCGACGCATCATAATCCACATTGTTCTGCAAATGTGAACATTCAGCCTTATTATTATTTTCTTTTAAAAGTAATATTCATGTCAGAAGTGATACTAAATATAATAATACTATTTACATAAAGAATTTCATATAGGCAAAATCAAAATGACCATTGCAAACAAGTGGCCCCTACTCAAAATTGACAATATCTTGATTAAAGGACAACTTTTAAGAATTACAAAGGCAAAACATAAATGTATATGGGTAAAAGCAAATATCAAGGAAAACAAAACGAATCAGCAAGATTTTAAGAAGTTACCAGTAGTAACTATTCTGTACAAAAAGACTTAACAGTATTTGTTACTTATTAATCTTTTAAACAATTCTACCGCACTATTCATAGAGAATCATAGCTACAAAGTAACAGAGGAAACTTACCCCCACTGAGCAATGTAGACCGGTTCAATGACCCATGGAATTTCATTGACAAATGTTATAGCTCCAGTGGTATGGTAGAGTACTTTAACATCACGAATCTGCTCCCATGGCATCGGCATATTTTCTAACAGCTTTAACACTGCATGGGGCATATACTTCAATGCACTGCAACAAAAAAATATATCATATAAAAAGGCTGATGTTAAGATTTCCTTAACAGGCAGAAATAACATTACACATAGAGTTCATAAATTTAAACTTGAAAATAAGTGAATGTGAACAATGTGTTATATAAAATTATAATAGATACTGGTATGTCAAATCAAAAAGAAAAGCTTTCTAAAAGTTGACATACAAATTCTGATGAAAACGTTTCATTCACAATAGTGATTTTCCTTTCTTATGAAATAAAATCCCATTTCAAAACAGGTGAGATTAAACAAAATTATCCAAAAGCATACAAATTCCATAGCGCAATTTAATCAATTAATTTTATTCATTTGTCTCTCTTTAAAAAAAATGCTTGTGCACAATTTGATTTAAAATATAAACAATGTACAATGCCTTACAAATTATCTATCATAAAAAAAGTTTCTTATTAAGGATAGTAGGAATTAAAACATTACCCTAGATATACACGTTTATCATGTCTGAATTTTCTGTTGGTCATGTCTCCGTGGTCGTGAATAATTTTTCTCACATGCTCCGGAGGAAAATCTCCTTTTTGTACATCCACAAACCCAAATTTCCTCTTTTCACTGTATCTTTTGGACTGCAACTGCTGCCATTTTCTGGCTGTAGGAGACAAGATGGTGTCATTGAAAAAAATATTCTAACCTTTAATCTCCATATAAATGGCAATATTTAAAACTGATTGCTGCTTTTTATACTATATGTAGCAATAATAATATATTTAACACTAACAAACTGTAAGCTTTCAGTACTTTCTGAAGCAATCATACTAAACTTTTCTGATAAACCTTTTTTTTTATTAAGAATGAGATATTATCTTTGAGTGTATTAAAGTAGTATCAGTACTTAGTAAAGCAACAAATAATCCATTACTAATTTATACATTATACACAGTAGTAAAAAGAAAAACCAACAAAAGAAACAAGATATTCCATACTTTTTTCTTGCAGCTTTTCTTCAGACATATAATCTGGTACTTTAGTCTGCTGAACAGGTGGTTGTTGGGGAGGAACACCAGTGTTCATCTGTTGCATGGGGGCAGGAGCCCCGGGCACCTGCATCAAGGGCTGTATCATCTGTACCTGCCCGAGAATGATGGGCTGTCCCCCCGGCCCTATCACATAGTTGTAAGCCATTTTTATGGCTTATCCTTTTAAAGTCCTAAAATATGTAAAGAAAAATTTTTTATCATCTAATATTGCAAAAATGAACTCTACAACCAAACTTGCAGACCTGTTTACCCCTTTTAAGGCTTTTCAGAAGTCTGGAAATATTGTGTCAGTAGTTTTTGAATTAAATTCTTAATTAAATTTTACCTATTTATCATGCAAGAATGAGCATCTTATACTCAAACATCAGTATAGCATGTTGCAACTTTTTTTGTAAAAATTTCACTAAAATCTCCACAGGCATAGCTTTTAGTTCTCATTTTATTATATTTAGCACAAGCATCAGGTTTACTGAAGGTTCACCTCCACATTACATAAATGGGTTTGCACACAAATACTTAAGGTAGGTAATACTGTGTGGATATTTTAAAAACATTTGATACCTGACGAAAAAATCAGATTTTTTTTTAAAGAAACAAGTTGAATACCAATTTGTTGAATGAAATGAAGTAAATGAAACCAACAAAGCATTAAATTACCTATTCAAAGTAGTATACAAAATAAGAGTAGTCTTTTTATATAATTTACTTCTTTTTATAATAAACCATTTTTTCTATCTATTAATATTTTCTCATTTTTCTATTCTGATTAATAAAAATTCATTTCTCATCATTCTATGTCAAATCTGATTTGTTCAAACCATTTTTAATTGCACAAATTGACAGCTTGACCTATTCTCAAAACCTAGTTCTATAGCAAATTATACATTTCTTCTCTTTTTTTAACAAACAGGTGGTGTTGATGTGAGGGAAGAAGTAACATTCCTCTGTTTTGATTGTTGAATGCTCCTGTCAATATATGCATTTTGCAAACATTTACATGTAAAATCACGATTGAGTCTTATGATCTAACCTGTGATGACACTGGGAAAAGGTGAGGCTTCAAAACATAACCATTACATTTTCATCTTTACTTTTATTATTAAGTTTACATGTAGTTGTTGTGAAGGGTGGAAAAAATTAAGCTACTTGCTCATGTGCTGGGGTTAGTAGGCATCTGTTAGTACCTAAATAATTGTTCTTCCTTGCTTGAGACATTTCTCTGAGGGCTGATGAAGGAGTAACAAGTAAGTTTGCCAGGCTATTTTCCAATTAAACAGATGCTCTCTACATTTGGTTTTTTATTAAGGAAGTGGCTTACCGTACGGGCCCGTACGGCTAGCCAAAAGTTCTAGCCGTACATGAGTCACATACGACTAGCAAGGACACACTGTATTGGCTAGCAGTACGGCATTTTCAAAATTATATGGAAGTCGAAAATGCATATGTTATTTTCTGTCTTTAAGCGAGGATTTTAACCAAGAAACAACAATTGTCTTTGTATGTTTACTTTTTAGAGATTAATCTCCTTGTTGGCTACAGTAACAAGAGGGCCATGATGGCCCTAGATCGCTCACCTGACTTATCAAACTCATCCAAACAATTACCTAGACAAGCATTCTGACCAAGTCTCATGACAGGTGAGTCAAAAATGTGACCACTACAGTGTTAACAAGGATTATCCATATTTGAGCAGTGCGACCTAGTTTTTTACTCAGGTGACACATATTCAAACTTGACCTAGAAATCATCAAAACAAACTTTCAGACCAATTTCCAGGATACTTGGATCAAAACAGTAGCAACTAGAGTGTTAACAAGATTTTTCTATTTCTAGCTCTGGTGACCTAGTTTCACATGCGATTTCGAACTCATCCAAGCAATTACCTATACAAGCATCCTGACCAAGTTTGATGATAATTGAGTCGAAAATGTGACCACTAGAATGTTAACAAGGTTTTTTCCATATTTGGGCGGTGTGACCTAGTTTTTTTCATCCAAGATGACCAATGTTCGAACTTGACTTAGAAATCATCAAAACAAACTTTCAGACCAATTAACAGAATATTTGGATCACAACAGTAGCCACTAGAGTGTTAACAAGATTTTTCTATTTTTAGCTCCGGTGACCTACTTTTTCATCCGAGATGACCCATGTTCAATTTCTTCCCAGCAATGACCTAGAAAAGTTTCCTGACCAAGTTTGATGACAATTGAGTCAAAATTGTGACCACTAGAGTGTTAACAAGGTTTTTCTATTTTTAGCTCCTGTGACCTAGTTTTTCATCCAAGATGACCCATATTCGAACTCATCCGAGCTATCACCTAGACAAGCATCTTGATCAAGTTTGATGATGATTGATGCAAAAATGTGACCACTAGAGTGTTAACAAGGTTTTTCTATTTTTAGCTCCGGTGACCTACTTTTTCATCCGAGATGACCCATGTTCACACTCATCCGAGCTATCAACTAGATAAGCATCCTGACCAAGTTTGATGATGATTGATGCAAAAATGTGACTGCTAGAGTGTTAACAAGGTTTTTCTATTTTTAGCTCCGGTGACCTACTTTTTCATCCGAGATGACCCATGTTCGAACTCATCCGAGCTATCACCTAGACAAGCATCTTGACCAAGTTTGATGATGATTGATGCAAAAATGTGACCGCTAGAGTGTTAACAAGGTTTTTCTATTTTTAGCTCCGGTGACCTACTTTTTCATCCGAGATGACCCATGTTCGAACTCATCCGAGCTATCACCTAGACAAGCATCTTGACCAAGTTTGATGATGATTGATGCAAAAATGTGACCGCTAGAGTGTTAACAAGGTTTTTCTATTTTTAGCTCCGGTGACCTACTTTTTCATCCGAGATGACCCATGTTTGAACTCATCCGAGCTATCACCTAGACAAACATCCTGACCAAGTTTGATGATGATTGAGGCAAAAATGTGACCTCTAGAGTGTTAACAAGGTTTTTCTATTTTTAGCTCTTGTGACCTAGTTTTTCATCCGAGATGACCCATGTTCGAACTCATCCGAGCTATCAACTAGACAAGCATCCTGACCAAGTTTGATGATGATTGAGGCAAAAATGTGACCGCTAGAGTGTTAACAACTAAATGTGAACGGACGACGGACGGACGGACGACGGACAATCATCGATCCTAAAAGCTCACCCTGAGCATGCTCAGGTGAGCTAAAAAGTAAGAATATCAATCTTTGTCATCTAAAGAGTCGAGAAAAAATAGCGTTTGGTCGTATTTCAATAACATCAATTGAAATAGTTTACAAAATTTTGATGATAATCCTTTTTTGTTTCATTAAGTTTAATTTTCGACACCTTTAAAATGGAACAAACAAAAAATAATTGTTCTTGGGCTCTGCATGATAACATGATAATTGCGTCAATTACCAACGGTATAGAAGTTCGTCCATCATTAAGGAGGAAAGTTTGCATGTTCCGTGAAACACATTCAAAAATTCTTTTGTCAGTCCCTGGGTAAGCTTTAATTAAGGTTAATTAATTGATTGTGCTTTTATGTTCAATATTTATCTACTGTACTGTATTTGAAAATTATACATTCACCATTTCTTTTTCAATGTTCTTTTTATCTATTCCACTCTGGTCGTTATTTATTCGATCCATGTGCTTAATTAACAAAAAATTATCTTTCATACAAATAAAACAACAAATCATAATCACGAGGCACAAAATAACACATGTATGCATGTTAGACTTCATATTATTTTGAAAAGTGCCGTACGGCTAGACAATACAGAGAGTTCTGGCTAGTCGTACGTGACTCATGTACGGCTAGAACTTTTGGCTAGCCACTTCCTTTTAATAAATCATTAAAATAACTTGTATAAGAGAATGTGATCATCTTACATTTTTCAAACATTTCATCTACATTTTAATTTTGGAAGTGGCTAGCCGTACGGGCCACCAAAAGTTCTAGCCATACGTGAGTCACGTACAACTAGCCTGGACACACTGTATTGGCTAGCCATACGGCACTTTTCAAAATTAGATGGAAGTCGAAAATGCATATGCTATTTTGTGTCTTTAAACGACGATTTTAAACAAATCTCCGCATTTGTCCTAGTATGTTCACTTTAATAAAGATGCTCCGCAAATTTGCAAAAAAAGATGAATACAAGTAAGCGTTGTATAATCTTTCTTAATAAAATTAAGTGTCAAAGTTGCATGTTATAATTAACGTCCTTAATTTTCATGCTTATGATTTGTATGAAAGATGAATTGTTAAATCTGTTAATTAAGCACATGGATCGAATAAATAATGATCGGAGGGGAATAAATAAACAAATAAAAAGAATATTAAAAAAAAACGGTGAAAAGGAGAAATAGTTTAATAATGCAAACTTTCCTCAATGATGGACGATGGACAAACTTCTATACCGTCGGTAATTGACGCAATTATCAGAGCCCAACAACAATTATTTTCGGTGTTTTTTTGTTTTTTTTTTCAATTTAAAAATTGAACTTAATGAAACAAAAAAGGATTATTATCAAAATTTTGTAAACTATTTCAATTGATGTTATTTAACTGCAACCAAACGCTATTTTTTCTCGACGCCTTGAGATGACAAAGTACATTCTTTACTGTAGCCAACACGTCAATTAATCTCTAAAAAGTAAACATTCTTCAGCATGCCCATTCACACACTACAGTGCGTAATTCACGCACAAAATTCTAGATGCACGCATAAAAATTGTAAGCAGGGGGTACATGCACGCAAAGTAAAATCGTCAGAATGAATGTTTGGGATAGCCTATGTACGCTTAATTTTGCCTGGGGACGCATCAAACGACCACAAATACACAAATACGTCAGCGCGTGTCAGTCTATAGGTAGGCGGTCCTATGCACATCGACCCGTGAAGCGATTAGCCAATCAGCGATAACACTTTCAATCATTATCACGCAATAGAGATCAGACTAATGTATACACGCGCTGCAGGGTTCAACACTAACTGTTTTCACAAGGGATCCCGTAGGAATCCCTGAGATTAAATTCAGGGATTCCTCCTAAATGTCAGGGATTCCTCAGATCAAAATAGTAAAATATGAAGTCAAAGAAATACAAGAGAGTGCAGCAATCTGATTACAATTCTTTTTTTAAAGACCACATACATGATATATTACCTTGTTTCAGATGCAGAAAATGTAGTTTATGAGCCCTTTGGTTTTTTTTGTTTGCTTGGACTTTTATGGCATGTCAACACATAACTGGCCATAATTATGAGCCCTTTGGAAATATTACAGTTTAAAGTTTTAAAAGTTTTTCTAAGTGTTTACTTTACTAGTATATATATGTGATTGGACTGCTAAGATAAATTAAAACATAATACATTTTCTTAACATGCACATAAACAGAATAACGTTAAGCTCACCCACTGAACAAGAGTTCGATTTGAAAATAAAACCTGTGTTCTCCCTGGGGTTGATAATTGTGAACCAGTTTCTGTAAATGAAGGTATAATGCAAGTGACTGGGCAACGGGACTCAGGGTTTGAATTTTTGAAGTTAAGTAGGAACTGGGGAAAAATTTTCCCAGATAGCCTAGGGTTCACTGAAATAGAGCCAACATATCATCTGTAGATCTTTATAAACTTACAGGTAATGATTTAGGCTCCATTTTCCAGTAAGTTCTTTTTTGAAAATATTTACTTTCATGTCATTTAAAAAAAAAATATTTAATTATGATCACTTTAAAAAATAAGTGATTTTCAGCTTACTGTACACTTTTTGTGTTTAAAAGGAAATATCCCATAGATTGTTGTAAATTAAGTATTTGGTTGATTTTTTACTAAAGCTTAAATATCAAGAAAAAAGTTTTGTTTGCATTACAAGTAGGGTACCTTCAAATTATTTCGTTTTTAAAAATAAAAAGTTGCTCCAAGTCCATGACAGGATGTGTAATATCCAAATTTATTGTTCTCAATTTTTACACTGAAATGTCCGATTGTTTTCCTCCCTGTGTGTATTGATTTTTTTTTAAGTTTTGACATATGCCACATCAAAGGCACTCACTGCATACAGCAGTCATGTAGTTCAGAACACTGATTGGCCCAAAGAACTGTCAGATGAAATATAGGTCATTTGGTGTAGGTTTCACCTAAGGATTTTTTAATTTTTTTGTCAGTTATGCGTGACCTTGATTGACCTTAGAACACTTCAGACTTTAGTTAGACAATATTTTTTAGCATTTGAGGCTGCAGAGTTTCAAAAAGGATTTTAAACTGAAAAGTATGGATTCTTTTTATTCTATTTATTAATTATACTTTGCTGTACTGCAGGGAGAAAAAAAAATACATCTGTAATATTTTTGTTTTTTCACTTTTTTACGAACATTTACAAATACAATGATCTCAAATGCCGAATTTTGGCACAAAAAAACAACAACCAAACACTTGTTAACTTCGTAGCTAACTACTGCCGGCAACGCCGATCAGCACATATTTGAAGTACACACAGCTTGTGTAATAATTATAGATTATTATATTTCTTTCTTGAATTTTCACAACTTAATATTATGAAGTCAATGCATGATATAAAATTATTCAAGATTGTTTCTTTAGCCAAAATATTTTTCATTATATATCGCAAATGAGTTGAAAGCAGTCACTGCACAAAGGAAATCTGGCGTACATGATCCAAGAGCGTAGATTTTACCGGCGGGATTTTTCTTTTCTTTCTTGAACATTGCAGTTGTGCCAGTCTTTATTAACACTTTTCTTGAATATTTGTGAATTCAGACAATTTCAAAATTTTACATAGCAATTTTTCAGGGATCCCAACGGAATCCCCAGCTAGGAATCACAGAGATTCCTCCCGACTTTTTGGGATCCTCGGAATCCCGGGATCCCATTAATGTCGAACCCTGCGCTGTACATGTAATTACCAGATATAACACGAGGTGATAATTTAACATCTTTGATCAACAGTTGATTGGAAATAAGCAAATTTTACCGACAAAAGGATAAGAATATCAACTATTTACGCCGCAAGTTTAAAGACTGTTTTCTCAAATTACAAATGAGTGTAATTTTGAATTATTCTCGAAATTTTCGGAAATTTCTAAGCAAAATTTTGCTTTCGTTTCATTCTTGCAAAAACGTTCTATAAGAGTTTTAATAATTTAACATATTGTGCCGAAATGCCAGGACAACTAACCAAAATACACGTACGCTTTTCTTCGATCCGAAAATTGATCCCGAACATCGGCGATTTCACGTTCGCCGGAATTTCAGAAACCCTAAAATTTCGCAAAAATTCTCAGTTTCCAAGCCAAACATGAGAATGAATTGTACTTTTATTATTAAAACAGCATTAAATCTTTAAATATCGATCTTCAATTTGCCCCCATTTTGAAGATATTTGCTAAAATAATTGTCGATCGGATGAATCTCTAACACACTGTGTGAAGCTGTACACGATTTTCCTATTCATTCCCCTAAACGCTGCCTATACTGTATACATTTACGTTTTTTTTTTAACAAATATAAACTTTTTGTCTATAGAGTGGACTTATTTAACCAGAATGAAATTTGATTTGGTATAAAGGTGAAAAAAAAGAAAACCAAACAAAAAACGATTTCCATGTGTTGATGCATTAAAATGAAATAATTTCATGAAAAATATTAACAAAACAAAACAATAATTATGCTATATTATACTACATTTATATAAAATGTTCTTACAAACAAAAACATGTTTAAACTTATGTGTACCCCCAGATTTTGAAATGTACCCCCAATTTTCAATGACAGGGGGTACATGTATACTCGGTTCCTATGATATCAAGGGTTCTATGATATCAAGGTATTTAAATTTTCTGTGACTGCTAGTAAAAGCAACACATAGTGATGCTAATATTTGTAAAACTTGCACACTAGATTCATTTCCATCTGCCAATAAATTTAATTTGGCACTTACGAACTTTCTCTATACGTCTATGCAATATTTCGATAGAGCGGAAGTCAGTGCGCGAGCATGCGCTTTGCCATATCTCGTTCAGTTACCGCTCACGTTTTAAATCGGTTGCTATGAAGCGACACTAAGTGTACATGGCGTTTACAACTAAAATATGAGACAAACACATTAAAACAATGCACATAAACTACTCATAGTTGTTTTCCATATTAATATTTTGCATGTGAAACTGATAGTCAAACAAATATCTCAATATTCTTACTGATTTAATGTATTGTTTACATGTGATGACAGCAACGATGTGTGTTAGATTACTTTCGGTTCAGAAAATTCATTTGTTTACCATCAAAACTCATATGTTTACCAAAGGAACCATATATTGATAGAAAGCAAATTAAACAAAGGTAAAGAAAAAATTGTCCGTTTCTGTACAAAAAATCGAATAAATAAATACAAAGTCATTTTAAAAGGTCCCTTCTTTGAGTTCATTTGAAAGGGGAATAATTTGGTGGAATTTTAGACAGGGAAACAGGGAGTTATCTTTCATGGCTAGGGAATATGGCCGACTGAAATTATGCAAGCAAGTTTGTAAGTGTTTGGTGAATAATGAATGTATTTGTGGCAAGAAAACTATTTTATAAAACCTTCATATTTGACTACCATTTTCCTTAGTGTTTTTTACACAGTCAATTAAAATATGTTATAAACACATATACTGACATATAGTCTGTTCATATAGTTTTAATTTTATAGCAAGTTAACTGTTGGAAGTTTTTCACAACTTAACTTGAAAGTTTTGACCCATCAATTCTTCCATATCTGCTTTTTTGTGGATTACCTTGATACCGTAGTAACCTCCTCTGAAATGACCCAAAATGGCAGGCATTGAAAATATTCTAAAAATTGTCATTTTTATTGGTTCTTTTGAAATTTTTTTATGACAAACAGTTCTGGAAAAGGTTCAATTATAAGATGGAAGAAAAATCTCAATCATTAAGGTTATTTACATTTAAATATTTTCCGATAAACGTTAAGTACCTTGATATCATAGAACCCCGGGCTACCCCTACATTTAAAATTGAGTGGGCATGCTGATTCTTGACTAAAATCCTCGCTTAAAGTCATAATTAACATATGCACTTTCGCCTTCCATATATTTTTGAAAAGTGCCGTACGGCTAGCCAATACAGTGTGTCCTGGCTAGTCATACGTGACTCGCATACGGCTAGAACTTTTGGCTAGCCGTACGGGCCATTTTGGCTAGCCGTACAGCTAGCCACTTCCTTTAATTTTAACAGTATACAAGCTGAAACATGCGATCTGTTTTATATTATTTACCATGCATTTATATAATATGGGGATTTCAGTAAGAAGACGCTTACTAAAAAACGACCGTAAGTAACAGGTGGGTGGGGTATCATTTGTGTTTACTCTGAGCATAGAGCATAAAAAAAATTACAATGAACGACAGGGGTATGACGCTCATAAACAATTTAAAATAATTCATGTTTTGAATAATATCAAAAGACCAATAAGTTTGGTACATCTAACAATTTAAAATTATTCATAATATTTTTAAACAAAACAATTTTCACAAAATTTTATTTTTGAATTTGACAAATATGACGTTTAAAAACGAAATGACACATGCCATTGGCAAGCATCTATTAATCCGATCAGGTAATATTATCACGGGAATTAGAATTATGCATGATATTTTGAAATACTCTACCAAATATTTGTTTTTCTCCGCAAAAACAATTATCCATGCGGCGAAAATGGCGTCAAAATTCGTCTAGTTTACGTTAGTCACGTGATACTTCCGGTATTTACAATTAGGCAAATCCGTCTCATATACACACATCCGCGTAAATTTATTTTGAATTTAAAAGCTTCTACACCTAATTGTATGGTTTATGGTGAGTTAGGCATATTCCCATTAGCCTTACAAGTGAAAGCAAGAGTTTTGTGTTTCTGGAGTAAAATTATAAATGCTAAGGAAAATAAGATATGTAAACTTCTTTATAAAACAATGTTGTCTTTGTCCTCTATAGGAATATTGTTAATTCTAAATGGATAAATTTTGTGAAAAGAACACTTAGTAATCTTGGCATGTCAGAATATTTTCATTTACAGAAGGTAGATAATATTAATCACTTTAAAAATGTTGTGAAGCTTAGACTACAAGATCAATTTTTACAAGATTGGCATAGTACTATTGATACATCCTCTTTATTTAAAAGTGTTTAGTGTATCGTACATATAAAAATACTCATTGTTTTGAAAAATATCTAGATGTACTTCCTTTTGACATAGGCAAATATTTATGTAAATTTAGAACAATGAATCACCTATTACCAATCGAAAAAGGCAGACACTTGGCAATTGATCATAATAATAGGGTCTGTTCCTTATGTCCGTATCAAGCTATTGGGGGTACGTTACGATACCGAAATCAACTTGATTTCGGTAAAGTTACCGAAATCAACTTTTCATTACCGAAATCAACTCGTAAAAACCAAACTAGTTAAAATATTGCTATTATTTCTTCATTATTTGATGAAAAATAATGAAATAGACTTTCAGTTAAAAAATCTATTGAAAATATTTTATTTTAATGATGTTATTAACAAAAATGTAATTATTGAGTTACTTCCCTTTGTTCTAAACAACCCGTTATGTGTTTAACATTACCGAAATCAGCTGTGAAGTTTAAATTATGTATATAATTAGTAGATAATAGATTAGATAACTCTAGTAGAGCTCTATTTTATAGACATATTTCTGTTTTTAAGTTTCAACCATATCTAAATATTATCAATGTTGAACAGTTTTGTAAAGATCTCACTAGGTTAAGAGTATCATCAGTGAGATGTGCGATGCCAGTGAACTAAAAGTTCATAAATTTGACAAGATGATGTCGTGGAACTGGCCAACTTCATATGAAAGTATTGCACCATATTTCTTGCCACAATCAAGGTCATGTCAAAATTTTCAAGACATTTCAACGTCGTGTCATATCTGGAGCAATTGCAAAAACATGTTCAATATTGGTGATCATGTCTTAAAAAATGTAAGAGAATGTAGAAATACCTATTACGCACATAATCCAACATTAACGGTTACAGATTTGGATAAATCGAAAGTGTTTAATGCACTCGAAGACCTTTTTAAAGATGTTATGGGGCACATCGATGCTCAAAATTGTTTGTCTGAGCTTGATAGAATCGAGAAAGGTGATTTGTTGTCAAACTCACTTAAAAGCATATTTGAAGCTTTGAGTAGACATTCCGACGACATTGTACTCTTACAGAACATAGGTGACAGAGTAGTGGAATCTCAAAACAATGTCATAACAAGTGTCCGGGGTATAGAAGAAAGACAAAATGAAATGGAAAGACATTTGCAAGAGTATCACGGACGTGTGATACGTATGATAATGGCGAAAGAAGAAAATATTGGAAATAAAAAGCGAAGCGGCATCATGTTATCCTTTTTTTACATAGCAATATTCGTAGCAATATTTGGAATTGTTTTGCAATTTCGTTTTAACTATTATGGATTAAAGGACAAAATGAAGGTTAACTACAGTTCAAGCTACAAAGGTACATATACATAACATTTATATTAATTTTTTTTCATGATTTTTTTAAAATATTTGGTTAATGAAATAATGCATTGTGCTGTAATGTTGATAATCCTTAAAAAGTCTCTATTGCAAAATTATAATAGAACGGTCATTTTCAAATGAAGAGATACATAATATTTTATCCGGATTCTTTTTGTATTGTACACTTTGTGTTGCCCGAGACGTTGCGTCACAATTGTGTAATGACGTTATATATGCGTACGTCTTATTAACATAAGAAAAAAGTAAGTCTTCAGTTTTTAGGACTTTTACTGAGTACAGATGATGGGAGTTATTTAAATACAATTTACACATGTATGCTATGACAGCTTGAATCACTCTCGTTGATTTGGAAAAGCAGTAACTACATTCGTGATAATACAACTATTCACAATCAGCTCGAGTGATACAAAACATCATTTTTTTTGAAAATTGATGCATACATTTATTCAATGATAATTATTTCAGATTGTTTATCAGAAGAATACACGTATCCATTCAAGCAAGACTTGCCTCTACTTGGATATATATATGATAGCGAACCAATTATTGGTAGAGAATGGTTATATGAGATAATGGAATGGAAACTTATATCTTCAAACTCTACTTTCAAGGGAGTGGCAATGATAGCCGATATGGGTTATGGAAAATCATCGTTTGTCTCACACATACTTTGTGCAAAAGAAAGGGAGAAGAGTTATGAGATTAAATCACATGTTGTTGGATTTCATATTTGTAAGTTTGATGTAAAAAGTACACAAAGTCCTGCTAGATTTATTCGACGGTTAATTGGTTTTTTAGCAACAAGATATGAGGAATACGAAAAAAAAATTTCCATAATGTCTGATGATAACATAATAAAGAGTCAGGAGTTTTGTGAGAATGACCCTATTGCCTGTTTTGACCAAAGTATTATTTTCCCATTTAGGCAGCTGTCTTTTGATAGTAACTTTCCCTGGATATTAATTATAGAGGCACTTGACGAATGTTTTGAAAAATCCTCTGGCAAAAACCTAATTTTGGAGTTATTATTGGCACGTGTAAGGGAACTTCCAAAATGGTTCAAAGTTTTTGTTACGTCTAGAAACATTACCGAATTATACTTATTAAAGAATTTTGAACACGTTCATTTAAAACCAAATGACCCGAGGAACATTAGAGATACCAAAGAGTATATACAAGTCAAGTACTCGTCACATGGCTTGGAAAACAATGGCAGTGAAATAGAAAAAATCATTAAACTTGGTAATGGAAGTTTCTTATTTCTAATTCATGCAATTAGATTCCGTTTAGAAAATGGTAACATTACGTCCTTACCTGGCTCATTGGAAGAAATTTATGAATTGAACTTTGATCGGCAATATGACGATACTGATTCGTTTTTACCATCAAAGGCAGTATTTGAAATTATTTTGGCATCCTTCAACCTTTTAAGTGAAGAAGAAATTTTTCATATTTTGGTATCAAATAACATTACTGACTTAGTACAATTCCGTACCCAGATGAAAAAGTTGTCATTCTTTCTCCGGAATGATGATTTTGTGACAATATTTCACGAATCATTATACCAATGGTTGATAAATTCTGGAAATAAAAAGTACTCAATTTCTTTAAAAGCCGGACATGCCTATATTTCGTGCTTTTTAATCAATGAAATATCTAACAATCGAAAAGTCGAAGTTGACATAGCAGATTTATCAATACACGTGAGTGAAGCTTTAAATGATACGTTAAATCAAAAGTTTCTTGCATTGGATATGGACAACCTTAATCAAACCCATGTAAACGAAGCTTTACATAATGTAATAAGGAAGACAGCAGGTATAAATGCACTTGTATTATTGATAAATCACAATCTTGACGTAAACACACTACAAGAGGGACAATCCCCATCCTTTATAGCAGCTTTAAAAGGAAATATTGATCAGCTTTTGCTTCTTCTACACAATGGAGCCAACGTTAGCTTTGTTATGGAATGTGATGTATATAACCTATATAAATGTTATGATATGTTATACCTAATAAGTAAAGCAGAGTACCGCTTTTCTCGTTTCTATAGATACAGCAATTTGAGATATGATACATTAAACGGAGCCAACGTTAGCTTTTTTACGGATAAAAGTAATGCTGTAGATTCCTTTGATATAGTAAACAAAATAATGGATATAAATCAATGTCGTTACTGTCGTTACTGTGGATACGGCCTTATACATATAGCTGCTCAAAATGGACATGAGAATATAGTCAGTAAACTTTTAGAATACAACAAAGATATGATCTATTGGGAAACATCCCTTGGACGGCGTCCAAGTGATATTGCGTGTGAAATGGGGAACTTAAATGTTTTACAGACATTTTCCAATTTGGACAATGATATGCTGTCCGACTGTATTTACTATGCTGCTCGATCCGGAAATGAAAATATCATTCTGTCTTTGATTGAACGAAAACTATACCTCAGTTGTATATCGGATGAACAGTCTAGAGATGCATATAAAGAGATAGAAGTAAAACATACTAAATACGGTGAAATAAAAAATGATTTTACTATTAAACTGCCTGCTCCTAGTCATATTAAATACCTTCTTGATAAATGGTGGATAGTAGCAAAGGAAACACCAATTCACGCAGTAATTAGGTCAGGTTCAACGAAAGTAGCAAAACTTTTGATAAAAATATTTCCAGGATTACTTGATTGCACAGATTCATTCGGATACACGCCAACATTGCTAAGTGTAGTGAAAAATCAGTTTGATTTGTTGCCTTTACTTACAGATTATATTTTAACAGATAGATGCGACCCGAATTTATTTTACATACAATACTTTGATGGTTACATTTTCACGAAGGACGGCTTGTCAGATATTGAACAACATTTTTGTGAAAATGGTTCTACATTTGCTCATCTTTCTTTAAAATATAAGCGGGAAAATTTTATAAAGTATGCTATCAAAGAAAACATTAATGCTGATTGGAATTCAGCTGATGAAGAAAGAACTTATCCAATTCACATTGCTGCAAGAGATGCAAATATTTATTTCATTGACTTTGCATTAAATGACTTAAGGCTTAATATTAGCAGTATCAAATGTAAAAATGGTTCTACTGCATATCATATAGCTGCGATTACACCATCGGCTCAAAGTTTATCTCGGTTGACAGATAGATTTGCAATCGTAATTGCAGATATAAAGGATATAAATAAAAGAGGATTCTTGCATCATACGTGTTTATTCGATCAAAATTCGCTGCAGTTTAGTTTAAATCCTGATAACGTGATGGACGTGTCGCAGAGGTATAGTTCAAATCATGTTAACGTTATGAACTTCCAAAATAGTTCATTTGAATGTTTTAAATATTTTGTTGAAGTATGTAATATCAATATTCAGTCGACTGATGTGTTCGGAAGAAATATTTTACACTATGCACTGGTAAATGGCCAGTTTTCTATCATCGAATATATAACAATAAACTATCCGTTAGAGTTTAGAAAACTTTTGAATCAAATAGATGTTAGTGCAGAGACACCAATTCAATATGCACTTGCTGAAGTCAAGGCGATTAGGAAGGAGCTAGATCTAAATGGGATGTTAGTTTTTAACTACTCGTACATGGAGCTATTTAAAAGCTGCCTATCTAAGGAATCCTTGTGCATCAATTATGAAACAGCATGGGAAATATCTTTTATGTTTACAATACGAGAACTTAAATGGGAAGAATTTCAAACAGTCATAGAACCATTTTTGTATTTGTTTCTGATCAAAAGTGAAAATCTGTTTAATATTTTATGGACATTTCATACACAAATTACAGACGAAATTCTTGGAGAACATATTATTAAAAGCATGGATGAAAACATACAGCCATCTGCAGATACTCTTCGGGATATTGCTCAGAATAGACCAACTGTATTCTTTAAGTGCGGACTACCATTTAAAAGGTCTCCATTGCATTATATTGCCTTAAAGGGAAGGTGTGCACTGATAGAACATTGTGCTATCGCCTCTTCAATTACACGAAAATTTTAACCAACTCTTTTACTAATGTTTATGAATGTGCTGACGCAAATGGTCGCCTTGCGTTTCATTATACTCTTATGAAAGGAGACCTAGAAAATGCACTTCGGCAGTTAAATGATATGTGGAATATAAGTAAATGAGATGATCGTAGATGCTATTCTAATAACGATATTGCGTGATCAAAAGCCATACGAAGTATGCAGGAATAAGACAAATATTTTTGATTTAGTTTTTAGATATTATTTGGCAAAAACAACGATGAAGATTGATGATAACGATGATAAAACCGATATGCTGTTATCTAAATCTATCAGGAGGTATAAAGATATTCTACAAATAACTGATTTCTGTAAAAAATAATTCTCAAAAGTTATCAGCTGTGCATCTTTTTATCTGTCAGTATAAAAAATGAAAAACACTATCAAAACCTTAGTTGAAATCTATGGCCGAGACATTCTCAAAAAATGCATGACTACAGACCGGATAAACACAATGTATTTATTGAAGTTATTTTCTCCTTGCCCCCAGAACATGACGAGATCATTGATGAAAGCCTAGTGAAATATTACAACCAAATATCTATGCTGAGAAAATTATCCTATCAATAATTTCTGAGCAGCTTGGGATCTAATCACATACCTAAAAAACGCCACTTACTGCATATTCAAACCAGGACCCCGTCAAAATAAAATGCATATTTCCCAACTTCTCAAGGACTACGAATGTATTTTACAAAACATTTTCTCATGGGTACTATAGAGAGGAATGCACATCAACAAGATCGTTAATCAAGTTTACTTCGGTCAGTATTTTTTTACTGATATAAAAAAGTGTAGAAATGTGTGTCTATATATCTAAACTGCTTCAAGCCATGGATACGATGATTACAAAATATAACAAATTGCTTTCTTTCTGATTATAAGTTAATTTATTCAAATGAGTATGTTTCACTAAAAGGCACGACATTTTCATATCAGATTTCAGAGCTTACAGTAAGATCTTGGAAATTGTCAAAACAATAGAATAGATAAATTGCAAGTATCAAAAGATTTACGTTTTTTGATGTTCTCAATACGAAATTTTCTGATTTTTACTTTGAAAAGACAGCGAGAACATTATTTACTACAACAACAATATGAGAACACCCTGTTTGATAATGAGCGTTATGAAGTGATTTCGAATAAAGGATATGACTTTTTGTTGTTTGAAAAATTTCTTCAAAGCTTAAAACTAAGCAGTTGGCAATGGAAATTTAGCAAGGAAGCTGGCGATTCGATCATTTGAATGTCCTGATGGAAACGTTCGGATACAAAACACTCAAAGATGATCTTGAAATTTAGATATGTGCAACGCTAAAGATATTACAAAACATAGCATATGCTGTGTTTGGTTATCTTTATGACAACTGGATATTTTTTCCAAAGTCAAAAGCTAATCATTCATTAAGACGTAATATGTAAGTTGACGAGAAATTAAGTTTTTTTAGTTAATTCTGATACTTTATATGAATAGTCATATTCGCATGTGGTATATGAAGTATTTAATTTATTTGTCTAAAATGAGATAGACAAATCAACTAACATGTTGCTATTAACATATTATTTTGTCATGGACTTCATATATTATCCAATCATGAATGGTATTATTTTACAATTATTTGTACACTGGTATAACAAGTTAATGTAGATGTATATTGCATTCATATTTGATTGAATAATATTAAACTATTGTTAATTCATATTTCAATCAATTTATCTAAAGCATTTGTGTAGATTTTGTATCTATGTTTGCACCTGGGAAGATAAGTAGTTTTCTTACTTCAAATAAGGTGAGAAACAAATACCAAAATGAATTGAAAATATCCAGGCCCAATAAGACTGTTTTATTCAAAAGATCAAGAAAGATATCATGCATATAAAGCTTAAGTAAACAGCATGACATTAATTTGGACAGCAATTTGTCTTCCAAAAATGAGAGTTTGTATTGATGTACACTAAATGTTTATTCTCTTTATTCTTCATAAAAAAAAAAAAAAAAAAAAAAAAAAAAAAAAAAAAAAAAAAAAAAAAAAAAAAACGTAGGTAATACGTAGGTCAGACTAACAAAATGTATCAGCAAATAAATAACGTTTGAATAAAAAATTGTGACTTTAATCCGTTCACAGTTGGTCCTTTTCGGATAAAACGAAAATAAGTGTTATTGTCGATTTTCATTTTCCCTTAAAAAATTTTAGACAACAACAGGACCGGTTATTAAAAAATTTTTTTGGATCCAAAAAATTAAAATCTATGATTCCAATGGACAAAATTAATATGTTTGTTTATAATGGGTTCATGAATATTTTGTTTGTCTTTACTTATTTTATTAAATGTCTAATAGACTCTGTTACTCCCTGATCCATTTAAATTCATTACCACCCTTTATTTATGCATAAATTTTGTTTTACATTTATCATAGTTTTCCGCTAAACGCCAAAACTTTTTTCGCGCTTTTAACGCGTTTTTCCTTAGACGTCGCTCCGGTATTTTTTAGTTTTGCCTTTTGAACATATACCGAACGTTTGCAAAAAATTAAATTACTAAATGTTCGTGTTTGGTGGTTGCTGATTACTTATTCTTCATGACATATGGAATTGATTTAGTTTATTGGTTGTGTTTAAAAAATGGGGGTTTTTTTGAGGCCTTTTGAACACTATATTTTTCATATACAATTAAAATATAACCCTTTTAAGTATTACAGCACACTTTTTGAAAACAATTGTATATAATCATTTATATTTTAAAATAGGTAAAGAATTTGTTTTTCTTTAAATACAAATTTTAGTTTTTTCTAAAAAAAAGTCTTTTTTTCTGATATCTCTAGTAAACATTTTTGTAAAAAATATATGCTACAATTGTAAAATTCCGTTGTATTTTCGCTTCTTTTTTTAAAATTTTGGGTTTTATTTTTGGCATTGATTCACCAGTGTCAAGGGTATTGAATGACAGTCTATCAAGAGTTCAGGCTTTAAGGGGTCTTTTATTTGCTGTTTTTGTTTGCGATGATCCATTTGATACCATTCATTGTAGTCTAAAATACACGTATCTTGGATTTATGCTTTGATTATATATCAATAGTTGGCAGTGTTTTAACTCCGGATTGATTTAAGTTTTTTTTCTTTTGCACTTTTGTCAAAGATTCAGAAATAAAAGATTGAAAATGTTGGTAATGCGTTTATTTCTTTCAACTGAATAGCCTATTCGGCATTACTTCATAAAATATGACGACGCGGGATGTTTTAGGAGAAAATTTAAAGTTCAACAGGTTGTCATGTTAGGGTTGACTGTACATACATATATTTCATTTAAACTTAAAAACAATCCAAACACGATGATCTACTTTGCATGTATCAAAAGTGTATAACAAATTAAGATAAATTGTAAGAATAATAAACTCTTAGTACATTTTTTTCTTAAGGTTGAGTTTTTGAAATTACTTGGCTCATTTGGAAGTATATAGCCAAGTCAGACTGGACATCAGCGCAGTCTGATCAGGCTCTGAACTGTTGGCTGGCTATTTTTTTAAATATATTTCTATCTTAAAAATGGAAGCTTAAAATGTCCATTTCATAACTTCAGCAGGTTAAGGATTAGGTTTGTAAATCAGTACAGTCTTACCAGTGGCAGACCTGTCTGTTGCTCAAGGTTAATCTTATTTTACTTGCATTCCATCATATTACCTTTTCTATTACAAGTAGGAAAAGTCAAGTATACAAAGTCAAAGAAATCAAATGCATAATTTGGCAAAAATGCCCCAAGGACATTTTTTTGCAAAACAAAGTGTGAAATATATCTCCCACATTAATGCATACAACACGTTTTTGAAACGTTTATGTTTTGCAGAAATTAAATTGTATATCATATATAAAATGAAAAGTAATAAAATTGTAAACTCAAGATTTTCCAAGAAATTATATACGAGCTTTTAAAAATTTAAAGGCGAACTTAAAATGACGATGACCGATTCCTTGCGTTGTTTGGGTTACTTTAGTTCCATATATATATATCAATTTAGTATTTTGAAATTAAGTCTCATTTTTTTGAAAGTAATGGCGAATTTTTAAAGTCAGCCTTTTAAAGTGGTGGACAGCTCTTTGTCCCTTTCACGTCTGAGAAGGGGAATACTGTGATGCGTGTAGGTGGTCGCTCTTTTTGTACGGAATCGTCCTAGTGCCAAGTCTTTTATGTTCTTTAAAAATCTTACTCGTGATTAGCATTTTTAAAATGTTACTCATTTGCAATTAAGCTATTTTACTAAAGAATATTGTAATCCTTCAGCATAGCTACCAAAAGCTTGACCATCAATGCTAGAAACATAATGGCTAATAACTCCTCTTTTTGTTATGAATATAACAAGAGCTGTCGATAGGACAGGATGCTCAGCTATTCTCAGAACTTGATAGTAAAACGAACCTTGATAATGTTTGAATTAACAAATGAAGATTTCATTTCACGCCTTTAATAATTATGATCGAAATACGGAAATGTTCACAATTCATAAGTTTTGGGCCTTTGACATTAATATGATCCCA